GTATATATGCCTAATACTAATAATATCGTTTTTACAGATGCGGTTATAACAGTTAGTGGTGGAAAATCTTCGGTAATATTTTCTTTTACGACAAATTTTATCATCTCTTCATTCCAGGTAGTGGAAATCCTTAGGTCATATTCATTCGATACTGAGGGTAGAAGATATTTGGGATTTGTCCTGGAGTGAGAACTTGACATGCACAAAGACCAGTCACTAGTTATTCGGACTTGCTATATACCCACGAATACGAGACCACGGAAGAACACGATAGCGTAGTCGGATGGAGTAGTATATTTGGATGGTTGTGCCGAAATACCGATGCGTTCCAACTACCTGGCTAGAGAGTCGAATACGAGCAATGCAACGTAACACGACAGCGTGCCAAATGGCGAGGATGCTTGACCGGGTGCCTTCAGCTTAGTGAGTCCAGTTAAACTATCAAGGTCGGTATCAATATCGAAAGTCGTCAAACCCTAGGCTATTGATTTTGGGGAAGTGTGTGATGCTACAGATCACTCCTCCCTAGTGGGTTCATGAGGACCCTAAGACGATGTCAGCCGGGAGTAAAAACCCAGTGGTTTCTCCACTGGTAAAACTCTCCCGATGGGCTCACTGTGTAAAGTGGCCCCTGGTTGTCTGAACTTATTCTAGCTTGTCGTGGCAATTAAAAAATAAAATACAATAAATGGAATTGTACGTCGATCGCAGTCGTCAGTTTTCTTTGACGTTCCGCCCAGTGCTCGTTGCGCCTGGACTATAAATGAAAGTCTTTAATACCATGAAAACGCTTCGTAAAAATGGGAATTATGTATGTACAAATATGTCGAAAATAAAGTTTACGCTTATTTTCACCGTTTTAGAAAAAGTTTCATTGTATGGTAATAAAAAATTGACATAAAAAGGCAAAATGTACGGGGATTTGTGCATTGTCGGTGAATAAGAAAAATAGTGCCTCGGAAAAAATTTCTAAGAAAAAAAATATGGTTGGCACATTTTATTTTACACCGCTAAGTTGAATACGACTTCAAATCCTCCGGGAACTCGACGGTTCGACCTGATCGTGTTTTCTGTTGCGCCGATGGTTGTTGCAGCTGTGCATTTCCAGGCACATCGTCAAGAATTTCGATAGTTAAGCTATCCGTCGGTCGGCTGTAGCGAGCTGGAACGTTACTTATAATGGGGTTGCCTTCGAAATAAGCTGGTTTCAAGAGGTCAATACCAACAGTATCTTCACGTCCGTCTCGCTCAGTTATGTAGAATTTCACGTGTAGCTTAATCACTTTGGATGGCCCGTCGTAGGGTGGTTCAAGTGGTCGACGAACGGCATCGTGGCGAATAAACACGTGTGATGTCTTTTGTAAACCGGGGTGAATGAAGACATCAGTCGTTTGAGGTCTAACCTGAGAAGGCCTAACCGAACGCATTGCGTTTGTAAGCCTAGTCACGTGCGATGCCCTGTCGGAAACATGTTTGAAAGTTGAAGGGCAAACAGACTCACCTGGTAGGCGAAGAGTGGTCCCATAGACGAGTTCTGCAGGGGTACATCCAGCATCAACTTTCAAGGCGTTACGAATACCTAGTAGGACTAGAGGCAGGGCCTCGGTCCACTGAGGTATGTTTGCAGCTGAAAGGGAAGCTTTCAGCTGTCTATGGAAACGCACTTCCATGCCATTTGCTTGTGGATAGTAGGCTGTCGTTCTGAACCGGGTGCAACCTAAAAGTGCCGTTAGAGCGTGAAATAATCCACACTCAAATTGGCGCCCACGGTCGGTTGTGACGTAAGATGGACATCCGAAGTTAGCGATCTATCTTTCGACAAAAACGCGAGCAACTGTTTCAGCAGCAATATCCTTGAGATGTACTGCTTCCGGCCATCGTGTGAAACTATCAACACAAGTGAAAAGGTAGGTACATCCATTGGATCTGTTAGTGGTCTCATGACAGAGGCACAGTTGGGGATAAACCTTCGGTAATAACTTACCACGTCACTGAAAGTGCGATGTTTCACAGTGGTTGGCTCTGGATAGTTCGCGATAGCCGCCACTTTATCTCTCAATGGGCGTATACCTTTGTTGTCAATGGTATGCCCAAGGAAGCTGAGTGATTCAACTCCTATTTCACACTTCTGTAAGTTGACTGTGATGCCATGTTTTTGAGTCTTTCGAATGCAAGGTCCAAACGTTTAAGGTGAGTTTCCTTGTCTGGACTCGCAATTAGACAGTCATCGATGTAGACATGAACAAAATTCAAACCACGGAAGACATCATCCGTAAGGCGTTGGAATGTTTGTGCTGCATTCCGAAGACCAAATGGCATGTACAGGAATTCAAACAAGCCAAAAGGAGTAATAATGGCTGTTTTCGTGATATCTTCTGCTGCCACAGGTATTTGGTTGTACGCTTTGGCCAAATCGATTTTGAAGGAAATGTTCATTCAGCATAAGGTTGCAGTCAAATCGCAAACGTGAGGTATCTGGTAACAGTCCGGAGTTGTTTTGGCGTTAAGCCTTCGGTAGTCACCGGTTGGACGCCAGTTATTGCCATCCTTTTTGGGAACGACGTTCAATGGCGATGCCCAAGGACTGTTTGACGGTTTGATAATGCCCAGTTCGAGCATGTGGTTGAATTCGCTTTTCGCCGTTTTGAGCTTATCGGGGGCTAGACGGCGAGCTTTAGGTGCCACAGGTGGACCTGTGGTTGTGACGTGATGCATAACATTGCTGGTTATGCACGGAAGAGTGTGCTTTGGTTGTCGCAACTCTGGATATTTCTCCGAAACTGCATTGTAGGACGCGTCGCCTGATTGTTTGGTTGTAACGATGGCTAGACTCGGACCTGCACAGGTGGTGCCGCCAATAGATAACTTTGTGTTGTTATCTATCAGTCGTCGACGACGAGCATCTACGATTAGATCGTAATGGTTTAGCAAATCTATGCCAATGATGGACATAGAGGCGTCAGGCAGGAGGACAATCCAGTGGATAGGTTTACGTAAACCTAAGTTGAAGTAGGCATACCGTCTCCCGAATGTCGCGATTGCCTTGCCGTTGGCTGCTTGGAGAATGAAGGATGGGTCATGATGACGCTCCTTTGTCAGTGCAGGAAGAACGCTAACTTCTGTGTCGGTGTCGACGAGGTAGCCACTTTCTTTTTAATATTGGTGACGTAGGGCAGACGGCTGTTTCCGCCGGCTACGGTTGCTGTGAGCACGTGCCGGCGTGACCGTTTCCCGAGTTTGTGTCCTTGTTAAAACGGCATGGTTTTCGACATTTTCTGGCTTCGTCTCCGTAAGTATTATAAAACCAGCACCATTTAGGGCTTTCTACCCTGTAAGGTTTAGTTTTGGGGCAACCATGAGAGTTGCTCGATGCTCCAAGGTGCGTTTATGTGAAGTGCTACGTGAACTGGTACTTCGAGATCGCAGCAACTGTTTCACAGAGTCGCACAGCTTGGTCACCTCTGAATCCTGACTCTCTGGTTTGTCGCAGACACAATATAAGTTGGAGACGGGTCTGCTGGAAATCTCTGGTACTTTATCTGCCGAGGCTGCCAGGTCATCGAGTGGGACTGACTGGAGTGTCACCAACACGGTTTGCACCGGTTGTGGTAGTTTTGAGATAATTAGTTCTCGGGAAAGGCCACTGTCGAATGTTCGTGCACCCATAACTGGCATGCGTGAGAGGACTTCAGTAGCTGAGTGGCTGCCTAGCTCGATGTTACGAAACAGTCCGTCTAGACGTTGGCGATCTGTGAGATGGCTTTTCTTCAACAATGCGGCCTTAAGAAGTGCATAAGGATCACTTACTTCACGATTAAACATGTGTGCTGAAACGTGTCTGTTTAATTCTCGCGTTAGTGAAGGTATGACGGCAAGAAATCGAGAATGAGGATCTGAGACGCCCTGTTCCCGAAAATCTGCCTCGGCATACAGAAACCATGTTTCTGCATTGTCTGGCCAATATGGCACGAGTTGGATCGTGTTCGTAGTCGGCTTGATAGGAATAAGCCGGGGAGTGTGGTCGGACATTAGAAAGTGTAGTAAATGGATGTATAAATGTTATCGAAACAAAAACAATATACAAATATAAAATGGAACAGGCTCACCAATTCAATATTTGTTATTGATCGGGATATGTGATCACGTCAGGCTCACCAGTTTAGGATTTGTCCTGGAGTGAGAACTTGACATGCACAAAGACCAGTCACTAGTTATTCGGACTTGCTATATACCCACGAATACGAGACCACGGAAGAACACGATAGCGTAGTCGGATGGAGTAGTATATTTGGATGGTTGTGCCGAAATACCGATGCGTTCCAACTACCTGGCTAGAGAGTCGAATACGAGCAATGCAACGTAACACGACAGCGTGCCAAATGGCGAGGATGCTTGACCGGGTGCCTTCAGCTTAGTGAGTCCAGTTAAACTATCAAGGTCGGTATCAATATCGAAAGTCGTCAAACCCTAGGCTATTGATTTTGGGGAAGTGTGTGACGCTGCACTCTAATGTTATTTATTCTTCTTCCTTCTGACTCTACTTTCTCAAACTTTAACAAAAGGTTTCCCTATCACGCCCTCCCCATAAATGCACCAATGTTTCTTATTCCGTGCCGTTTTCTTTTTCTCAATTGTTTTTTCTTTTTTCCTTTTCTTTTCCAATTTGTTTTTCTCTGCACTTTCTCTCCGTTGATTTCTATTCACATATTTTTCATCTCCTTTTTACAGCCAGTTTGACCAGTTGTCTGCTGGCACGACACTTGAGTAACCCATCTGCATTACAGTCCTCGGAAGAAAAAAAACAAAACAATCAACACTCCCTACAAATTTAACCAGCACCAAACCGCCCGTTGAGCTAACCAGAGCTAAGGTAGACCTACTGCACCGGAATCCATCAAGGACTGAGAACCGTTCCGCAAGACCAAGAAGCGAGCGCGAAGAAATCAAATGGTTTACACTAGCTCGAAGAAATATATTGGATATTGAAATATTGGCGACAAATGCGCAAAAAACGTATTCACCGCGAAAAAAGGCAAGCATTATGAAGGGGGTTTGGTGGTTGACAGACGATTTGATTTGATTCTGTCTATATTAGCCTTCATAATATGTTGCTTTATTTTTTGAAGATACCTGTTGTCCGAGACTACATATAAGCTGGTGAAAGTTAAGTTAAAGACTTAAGATTGATTAGTTGATTACCATTTTTTTTTGAAACCTAGTTCAAGGATTGTCTGCTTATGATCACTTCACTTTTCCGTAGTGGGAGTTGAAGGAAAAGATATCAACACCTTTAATCGCTGCTCATGATGTGGAATGTCTAAGAAAGGTCCTCTTTTTTCGAGGAATGAGTGGGAGAGAAACGTTGATAGTGTGTTTCTCTCTATAGAAGAGTTGCAGGATTCCTGTGGCTTGCTTGACCCTCAAGTTCTCGAGTAGTTTCAACGTGATGACTTTTATTCAGGAATACAAACTGGACTTAGTACTTCTCTGTTATTAAGGTTGAGCTCATTATCTCAACCTTACTATTCTTAAAGATTAGCGACCTAAACCAACAATCAGCGAACAACGTTGTATAACTAATAAGATTGCTCAGATAATGGTAAACTGGTGACTAACCAAATTCGCTTACTTCGTTCACAGCTCCATTCAAATACTGTTCTTAACTGGCTTTTTTGAACGAGAGATTATTTTGAAAGAAGGAAAATACTTTTCGTCTTCAGGATTTGTTCATCACAATGAAAGCCCAAGAAACAAAAACTTTGGATTCGAGTTCAACAGAGTTCAGTGCCTTTGTCGATATCGAACAACTTCGAAGTTACCTATTGTTGACTTAAGTACTTCAGACAGATTGAGGCTTAAAGTGCTAATGAACTCATGTGGATGTCATGAACCTCCGTTTCCGAGATAGTTTTGTAGAAAATTATTTCTTGTGATTTCGTCAACTCAAGCACTGCTGTGCACATAAATTCAATCAAAAAACTCTCAGGAAAGCCTAGACAATAGAATCTATTCTTTGATATGATTTAGATAAAAGCTTATCTTCTTAGTGAATTCCTTGAATGACTGATATGTGCAAGTGCTTTGAACACAAAAGTAGTTTTTCAGGAAGCTGTGGCTCGTTTGTGTAGGTTCTTGACTTTCAGTTAGTGGGTCACGGGTTCGGACTCTGCCCTATCAGTCCGCACAAAATTGGCGTCGCTTACTGCATACTGCACGAATATCCACGTAATTGCCGAGTTGCATTTCAGTCTCGGTTTAGTTCAAATGTCACAGGTTCGTTTTGTAATACCACCTGGTCAGTTATTTTTTATTTATTATTATTATTAGTCCCTTGGGTTCCTAATGGAACATAGGGCTTCAGTAGCACGTCTCCAGTGAACTCTGTTCTCCGAAATCTTTTGAACCTGGCTCCACGACAGCCCACAAGCTCTCATTTTCTCCTCGCACGATCTCCTCAATGTCACCCTCGGACGTCCAACTCGTAGCTTCCCATCTGGGTCCCACTTGATGGCCTGTCCTGGCGCGTGACGTCCCCAGTCGGCTTTCTCAGTGCATGCTCAATCCATCTCTACTTCCTTCTACATATTTGTTGAGCGATAGGTTCTTGGTTGGTTCGTTCCCAGAGCTCCTTGTTGCTTATTCCTTCTGGCCATCTGATCTTCAGTAGCGAGCGTAAGCAGTTGTTGATGAATGTCTGTAGTTTGTTGGAAATCCCTTTCGTAACACGCCAAGTCTCTGAACCATACAGAAGCACTGACTTGTCGTTGGTGTTGAAAATCTGGATGTTGTTCCGCATGCTGAGTACAGAAGATCTCCACACTGTCTTGCTATGTTTCCTATCCTGGCTTTGACATCCTCATCTGTGTCGCCGCCATCTTTAGTTGAAACGATGCTGCCTAGGTAGGTAGGTGAAAGAGGCTACCTCCTTTAAGTTTCTCCCGTTGATGGTGATTGGGGCTTGTTGTTACTGTTATTGTTGGTTGGGTATCTTCATCATCTCTGTCTTCTCTACATTCACTTAAAGTCCCGTCTTCGCTGCATCGCCTCTCCTGTCAACTTGTTAGTTTTCGCCTGTAGATCTTCAAGTTTGTATGACGTCAGACACAAGTCATTGGCGAAATCCAGATCTTCTAGGTTCTTTTCCGCAGTCCAGCGCATCCCCCCTTCTCGCTCTTCACTGTTTGTTGCATGATCCAGTCCACTACAATCAGGAATATCATGGGTGATAATAGGCAGCCTTCTTTTACTCCTGTCTACTGTCTTCACTTCTAAAGCATCATTGAGCCTCCCATTGTGAATTACTTGGTATGTGGCGTCTTCATATAGTTGTTGAATGAGATTGACAAAAGTTTGTGGTATTCCGTAGTGTTGAAGCAGTTGCCAAATTACTTGTCGGCCGACGCTGTCAAAGGCCTATTCAAAGTCGATGAAGTTGAGGTGAGGTAGAGGGTTGACTGCTATTCTATACTCTGTTGTATGATGATGCGTAGAGTGGCGTTGCAACTTGGTCCGCACATGATTTGTACTTCCTGAATCCAGCCTGTTCTGGTCGTAGTTTTGAATCCAGTGTATTCTTTAGTCTCTCCAGAATGATGCGGCTTAATATTTTGCTTGGTGTGGATGAACAGTAGCATGATTCTGTGCCAGTTCTTGCAAAAACTTAGGTCTCTGTTCATTGGGAGTTTGACAAGATAGCCCTTCCAATCTTCAGGTACCTTCCCTTCCTTCCAGGCCTTCTGCAGCAGTGGTGTGAGCATGTCTGCTGTTGTCTCTGCGTCTGCTCTCAGTGCTTCTGACGGGATTCCATGTGGTCCTGCTGCTTTCCCACATTTCAGTAGCTTTATGGCGTTCAGGACTTCGACTTCTGTCGGAGGATTTGTGTTCACTGGTAGTTCTGCGGCTGCCGGTGGTATTTCTGGTATTTCTCTTCCCAGATAGTAACCGGGTTATTTGATACAATGTCAGGTCTCTCCTACCTGCAGCCTGTTCTGCTTCACTTGCCAGTGTGTCGTGGAAGTGTCTTTTTTTCCCGTGCACTCTCCTTCACTTCACTTCTTTGTCCAGTGTTTTATACATTGTACTCAGTTCCTCTTCTCGTTGAGCATCCATGCACTGGTTTATCTTCTGCTTCACCATCCTCCTCTCCCTGCTCTATCAGCTTCATGTATCCATTGAGATCCATTCCTTAACTTCTTTCTTCTTCCTTCCTAATATGTTGTGCAGGTTTCTTTCCACATCTCTTTCAAAGACTTCCAGTGTTCTTCCACACGGGTTTCTTCAGGGATGTTGCTCAACATCTCCCATTTTGTCTTGATGACTGACTGCTGTGAAGATTTCTTTTGTAGTTTCATCCTTCAGTTTCTGAGTGTTGTACTTGAACTGTGGTCTATCACCAGCTTCCTTGAAGGCTTTTAACTTGATTTGGAAGGTTCCTTTCACTAGACATTAAGTGGTCTGAACCTACATCTGCTCCTCTTCTTGACCTTGTGTCAAGTAGACTGTGTCTCCACTTTCTTGAGATTGAGATGAAGTCGATCTGATTTTTAGTATGTCTTGGTGTCTGATGAAATCCATGTCGTTCGCTTTGTGGATGTCCTTGTGCTTGAACACACTGCCTCACTGCAATCACCAAATCGTTGAATGCACAGAATTCTGCTCACGATTCTCCATCCTCGTTCATCACCTCGCCGAGCGCTTCTCCACCCATGGTTTGTTCTCTTCTTGTGTTGTCCGCTCCCAGTTTGGCATTCATGTCACCCTACCCATTCGAATTTTGGTGTTACCAACTGGGGTGGGGTCTTGTCCAGTGTTGATTGGAGTTGTCTGTAGAATTCCTCCTTCTTCTTTTGCTCTGCATTATTTGTAGGTGCGTAGAGCAGCATTGTATGATTGTGACCTTTCTTCCTTTTGAGTTGAATCTTGCTGTTATGATCCTGGAGGAGATTGGTCCCCACTGTATGAGAGCCTTCGATGCTGTTGGGGACATCATGATAACCACTCCCTCAGTGTGCTTGTGGTTGTCGTCTGGGTGACAACGTCGGAGTAGATTATTGATTCTCCAGTTGACAATTTGGAGTGTCCACTCCTATTCCATCTGCTTTCGTAAATTCCAAGCACTTCACTGCGATACCTCCTCATCTCGTTTGCAATCTGGGCTGCCTTGCTGGGTTCAAGCATGGTGCGGACATTCCATGTCCCACGTTTACTTTCGCTTTCATCGAGAGAAGACATCGGCAATTGGCTTCTCGAAGTCTTTCACCAACCGGCGTCATTTCGCCTCTTCGTTTCCAGCAAGGAATAATTTGTTTTTATTTTTTATATTTTGTTTGTGCTTTGAAGTTTGTTTAGCGGTTGGATTGTTTTTACGGGGTAGGGTTGCTAGCCCTATGTCCAACCTTCCCTCCTTACCCGGGCTTAGGACCGGCAAGTAACTAGTGAACTAGTTAACCAGGTGAGGTTACTTGGTCAATTATGGAAAGACTATATTCTATCGTATGTGGAATTCTTATATCTCGTACTTTTATGACCAGCTCGTTTAAGGTGATTCATTGGTTCCCGTTTTCTTGGTGTCCGGAAGCAATCTACGGTCTCGTATAGGTTGTGCTGCAGTGACTTAATATGTCAACTAGCTCTAGATGTTTCATCTCATAGACAGTGACGTGTGGACAGAAATTTGTGATATTTTGATAAAGATGTCTGTTACTTTTGGTACGTATACGTCTGTTTTTGTCTGAATTTACACGTTTAAGCTTAAGTTTACCAAGCTTTCGAAAATAAATAACTTCAATACCTTGTTTTTATTCAGAGTAATACGTCTGTTTTCTGTGGTTAACTGATGCTAAGCACATTTTCTGACTAGCTACACAAATTAGGCAAAATACTTTGAATACTTTTCCATTTAACGGTGCTTCGTCATGGTATCTCAAAGTTCATGTAGTAGCAACAGTTTTGAGTAGAAACAAACTCCCTAGCCATTTGTGTTGGATACAAACCATGGAATTCGAACGATTGCAGCTAATTTGGTCCTATATAATCATTATATTCCCATTTTTTTCTCTCGGTAGACGAAAACGATCGTGTTTTTGTATTTGTCACGCATTGAGGGAATATGGTTTAGCAAAACGCCAAATTTTTTCCACTCATCAAGTACCAGCTTGGTTTTGAAATCTGTAAAATGATAATGATAATGTTCAATATGGTGCTGGTGTTTGGTACCAGACTATAAGACAAAAGCTAATAATACTACTCGGTTGCTGAGACCGAAGTAAGTTAAGTTGATTTTGAACCGACTGGTCAGTCAGGTTCTTAGACCAATAGATCAAACAATTAGACAAATGCAAAGCAAATTTACCCGCTTCATTGAAGCTCAATAAGCTCTGTGGTTTTCGATTTCGTCTCTACGGATTTTGAAAGTGTTGCTCAGGCTGCAGTACCAAAAGTTATAGAGGCTAACAGCTAGATCCGTTCACGAAGCTCAAGATCCTAGTCATTCTGTTTTTATTTTCTGTCTCCTATAGTTCTGTAGCCTATTTGCAGCGAAGGTTCGGGATTGTATCTGGTGTCAACCCATCGTGTCACAGTTTCTCTGCATCATTCTAGTGTTTCAATACAACTAAAGATGACAGATTGGTTTCACAGAAATCATCTTAAGGCTACTGCAAAGCTTACATTCGAGTTTGGAGAAGTATCTAAAGATTTGAGCAGCAAAGCTTTGTGCAGGTATGTTTACTGTTGACCTCACATTTATTTGCCTAGGTCTCTTTTCTGTATTTCTCTCAGTTTTTGTTGACCATAGTTCAGTTTTCTGTGTCATCACTTCATTGGTGCGGTTTGTTCTTAAATTACACTAACGGTTGTTAGGAGAAATGTATATCTATAGCATCTGTTGTTTAGATGAGTGTTAAAACTACAGTATAGTTAGCTGTACACTAACTACACTAGACGACAACCGTTGCTTTACTTAAGACATGACGCTGTTGACATATTGCGGTTGAATTTTATCTGTCTTCAAAGTGAAAATGAATAAATGAAAAGAGACTAAACCTGATTTATTCATGGTACATATGTATTCATTAACGAAGCAAACTCAAGTTCAGTAATAAGATAAAAATCTTTCATACACTACAAAATATGCGACTGGGATCAAATGATCATCACATAACCAGTCAGAAAACGGTTCATCAAGGGTAGTTTCAAGGTTGGGAGGTGAGCAGTGAGTTTTTCTCAATGAATGTAAGGCTGCATTAACATTTTTCCATCATGGAGTTGGTTCGCAAGAAATAACTCAAGTTTCTCATTGTACCACGTAGTCCTGTTGACAAAAATTTCTAGAAATACAAAAGTAAGTTTCAAGAATGAAAAGAATTCCTCGTTGATAAAAAGTACTATAGAAAGTGGAAAAACCTAGGCGTTTCAGTATAGTTTTCAGAAGTAAATATTCTTAATTAAATCCTGTCTTTAAGAAACACTGGCTATCCCAGTGAATAGTAGATCAGATAGTTCATAGGTACTCACACTAGTTCCAAAAACTAGATGTGGTTGGTCATCGTCAATAAAATGTATGAACAGCATGTCTTTACATCGTCTGTCATTTTTCAACTCAATATCTTCATGAGTTTTATCCTCATCCTTACTGCAGGTCTACCTAGTGAAGTATATTTTTTTTAGTATTTCCATTCATAGTGTAGTGTTCATATTTTTGGTTTCATAATGTCTTTGTATTAGTGAAATTTCTTAACGTCTGTTAAACTTACGTTTTCATCTGCACTTTAAAGTCCCGACCGATAGCTGCTACCTTGACGTGGTGGTCGGGCTTGCATATCACAATGACCCAACGAGCTATGCTGGTGGAACGCTTGTTCCCTCGAGGTCCTACCATACCAGAAAGGTCTGTTGGGTAGTGGTTAGACGAAAAGCAGTTACCGTTATAGTGTAAATTGCTACACTATGATGGGGGTCTGAGGGCGAAGTCGTACTGCTGCTAGCTGGATGGGGTGTGACAGCAGTAAGGTGTTTCCCTTGGATGACCAGCAGTGCCAAGCTGATGCTGCCTTCTCAGTGGAAGGGGGGGTTAGAAAAGGTCGGCCCCAAAAATAACACACTCCACCACGCCCCACGGTCTGCCGGGCCGGCGGTGTTGGTTCACTTGTCGTTTCCTTTCGACCATCCGGCCCCAAAAATACAAAAATTCAAAATAATCATACTCAAAAGGCTGGGTGTGACAGGCCTCAAGCAGATGTCCGATGGGCTCTGCGGTCACACAAATCTCTTTCAGGTACCTTAAGAAGAAATAGCCTTCCACGGTGTGGGCAGCCGGGAAGTGTCAACCGCCCTCACAACTCTGTCAGCACCCAAGTTTCTTCTGACTGCTATCCTCCTCCTCCATCATTACCTTCTAATCTTCCTTCACGTCTCTTAATTAATGATGCTGCATCATCTTCAATTTCTCCTACCTCTGCAGCCTTCGACAACGATCTGAGTCCACAGAACAGCATCCCTGGTCTCCTTAAACCACGCTCCAAATTACATATTGGAGCCTTCAATGTCCGCACCCTCCGTCAAATTGGCCAACAGGCTTCGTTGGCAAAGACTCTAGCAACTCGGGCATGGATGTGTGCTGTGTTTGTGAGACACGCATACAGGACCCAAGTGTGGTTATTCACCTGACCTCTCCTGACCAATCTGGTGAATCTGCAAAATTCACCCTTCGAGTTTCTGGAGATTCGATAGCTAGCTCTCGTGGTCTTGCAGGTGTAGGTATAGCATTAAGCACCAGGGCAGAAAACTCACTACTAGACTGGATCCCAGTTGATAGTCGCCTCTGCGCTATGAGGCTGAACGGCACAGTGAGAACTAAAAGGAATAGTGAGACTCGCCGTTGTCTCTTTGTAATCTCTGCTTACGCACCCACTGACTGTAGTTCGGATGAAGTGAAGGACGAGTTCTACCATAAACTGTCTAACCTCCTCTCGAAAGCCAAACGTTCGGACGTAGTGGTTGTTGCAGGTGACCTCAACGCACAGGTGGGTAGACTGAGTGAGGCAGAAAGGCACTTAGGTGGCACTTTCGGAATCCCAGCTGAACGTACAGATAACGGTGATCGCCTATTACAACTATGCTCAGATAACCGCCTATTTTTAGCCAGCACAAATTTCAGACATAAAGAAAGGCACTGTCTGACCTGGCGTCCACCGAGCTCGACTCAGCGATGGACACAGATAGACCACATTGCTATTAGTCATCGCTGGAGAGGATCGGTGGAAGACTGCCGCTCCTTCTGGAGTACGTGTTTGGACAGCGATCATGCGTTGGTCCGAGCACGTATATGCCTGCGTCTCAATGGACGTAGAAAAAATTTGGCAACAAAACCACTACGAGTTCTGCTGGACAACGAAAACACCAAAGCCGTGTTCAGTGAGAAGTTGGCTAGGCAGTTATCGGAACAAAAGACTGTCACTCATCCAGAAGAAGCTTGGTGCCATCTTCAGTCTACTGTAAAAGCAGCACTGGAGACTGTAGCCGACTCCAAGATAATGGCTAAAAAGAGCCAGTGGATATCAGCAGCTTCTTCCAAACTAATGGATGCACGTGAATGCATCCCTGCAGGCTCTGAGTACAATGAAGAGCGAGCGCAACTTAAAAATAACTGACGAAAAGTCTGCGCAACGATCGTGAACAGTGGTGGGCAGCAAAGGCTAAAGAGATGGAAAAGGCAGCGGCGATCGGTAACAGTAGACAGTTATTTAGACTTATTAAGGAGACTGGGGGGAAATGGTCAACAACAGTTAGTGAGGTTATAGCGGAGAAGGACGGATCGGCGATTCACTCGCAGGGAAGGCGACTGGGACGATGGGCAGAACACTTTGAGGAACAGTTTAACTGGCCTCCAGCCACCATTGCGCTGCCCGCTATCCAGTCGGACCCTGAATGGGACATAGAGACAGGTCCCCCAACACTAGAAGAAGTTGAGAAAGCGGTAGGTAGCCTGAAACGGGGAAGGGCAGCAGGACCAGACGGACTACCTGCTGAGGTATACAAGAATGGTGGTAGAGTTCTCTTAGTCAGGCTAACGGAAGTGTTAGCCAGTATATGGGAATCAAATACGATCCCCTCCGACTGGTCTAAGTCACTGATCATCCCAGTCTTCAAGAAAGGCGAGAAGTCCTCTTGTGATAACCACAGAGGAATCAGCCTGACAAACATAGTGTCTAAGATCCTAAGTTCTATAATTCTCCGACGCCTGAGTGGAGCTCGGGAACAGCAAGCCCGAGAAAACCAGGCAGGCTTTAGACCTGGCCGTGGATGTATCGACCAAATATTCACACTGCGCCAGGTCCTGGAACATAGGCATGCTTACAGACGCCCGACAATAGCTGTATTTCTCGACCTGAAGGCGGCATTTGACTCCGTTGATCGAGAAGTCTTATGGCAGTGTCTGTCACTGAAAGGCGTGCCTAGTAAGTACATCACCTTATTGAAAGCTCTCTACTCGAACACTTGTGGGCATGTTAGAGCCTATGGTGAGTTGTCCAGGGAGCTATACTCATCAAGTGGTGTCCGTCAAGGATGCCCACTATCCCCATTCTTATTTAATTTTATCATAGATATTCTTATGGAGGTTTCCCTCTCGTCACCTAATTACAAAGACGTTGACCGGATCACAGGTGAATTTTCCTTAGATCTAGAATATGCAGATGACATAGTCCTGTTAGGTGAAGACGCTGACAAGATGCAGAGTCTTCTGAACACTTTGAGTGGGAATTTGAGAATGTTTGGGATGCGATTTTCACCACCCAAATGCAAATTTTTGCTCCAGGACTGGTCTTCAGCGGTACCGCGGTTAACAATAGAGAGTGAAGTGGTTGAGTGTGTTGACCACTTCACTTACCTGGGAAGTAGGATCAACTCCGGTGGGTTAGTTGCCGATGAGATTTCTGCACGGATACAAAAGGCTCGATTGGCTTTTGCCAATTTGCGCCACCTATGGCGCCGCCGTGATATTCGTTTGTCTATTAAGGGTCGCGTGTACTGCACAGCAGTCCGCTCTGTTCTACTGTATGGCTGTGAAACATGGCCATTGAAAGTGGAAGACACAAAAAGGTTTCAGGTATTTGACCACCGTTGCCTTCGTAGTATAGGACGTATTCCGTGGTGTCACCATGTGAGTAATGCAGAAGTTAGGTGTAGAGTTTTAGGGAGAAGAGGTAAGTCAGTCGACGAGGTTGTGAACCTTCATCGACTGAGATGGTTGGGACACGTACTACGTATGCCTAGTCACCGATTGCCTCGTCACACAATGTTGGCTGAGGTGGGTTCAGGCTGGAAAAAGGCCCGAGGTGGCCAGACTAAAACATGGCACCAATGTATGAAGTCTCTGACTGTTGGTTTAAGCCATGTAGGACGATGCAGACTAGGTGGTTGGGGTCCACGGGACAAGAGGAACCAGTGGTTGGAGACCCTAGGTGATATGGCTCAGAACCGAAGTCAGTGGCGCAGATGTATACACACATTATCCTCATCTTAACAACGCTATACCGAATCTCACTATTTTGTCACTCCTCTTTCCTTTCTTCTCGTACTTTATATTTCTTTTGACTGCATTCACTTATCTTCATCCTTCACCTCACTACCTTTTTACTTGATGTGCTGATATGAGGTGTGGCAACTCGGACCGTTACGCAGTAATGCCTGGTCCTATGTTGATAATGATGATGATGATGATGCACTTTGAAGTGGAAATAAAAATGCTTCTACCGTTCGGATATGTTCACCAAACAGTTGTTACGTTATAATACAACAAAACATTTTTCGCTAAGCAACGAACCATACCACTTTGAGTGCTGTAAAACTAAATGGTTGCATTCAGTAGGTAGTGGACAGTTCGAAATCGTTACCTGTCGCAGATCCACCTCTTGTATAATACAAATACATTCCATTTTGCGATCTACGTTATTGTTAAGTATGAACTACAAGTCACAAGGTTCTGCCTGGTCTCTCCAGTTTGGAGTCTTCTTGTGAATAGCTATGGTTATCAGTTTAAGTTTTATTAAGTGCTGATTTATGAAGAGGTGGATTTTGTGCAACTTTGGACTCCTCATTAAGTGGTGATAAAAGTGGTACAACCGATAGATCTAGTACAATATTCAACAGACCGCACTTAATATTTGAGGGTTTATTATAATACCTGGTCACCCAAGTAAAAAAGGATAACGGATTGCTTTGACTTAAAAATTGAGTTACTTGGTCAGTGAACCACTTCACAACTGGATAGTAATGTGGTTGAGCATTACATTCTTGAGTAATGTAACTTATTAGTGAAAAAAATAAACTATTCAATCTAACTGAGTCCGAAAAGCCATCGTGAAGAAAAAATATCCTGTTTGCATAACACTGCGTTCAACTCAGATATGAAAATTTTTCACCACATTGAGATCAAAAAATGTACCACAAAAAGTTGAATTGTGCTTTTATACTAGTGTTTGGGGATCGCTTATTTAAAATTTATCTGCCCGCTGCAAGGTTTTGTATCAGTGCATAATCCACGTCCAGTGTGTAAAGACTTATAATACTACATGGTCACCCAATTCCAATTAGGTATATCTGAATTTGAACCTGGGGTTCACTGCTTAAAAGTTGAGTGCTTAAGGCAATGGGCTGCAATTGCACATTAGAGAATGGAGAAAATAATAATCAAATAAGAATATCACGAAAAAATAATTCATTTCTTCATTGCTGTTTCTATGGTGCATAGAAGAGAATGTTCACTGAACTCAGTGGAAGTCACTGTATCCAATAAAATTAGTAAAAGGGAGCTGTGACGAACCAGTGGATCTTATGCCATTATATTTATTCTCCTCCTACTTTGCATGGCATGATATGGTCACTTTACCTCATCTTCCATTCATACCTATTCACACAATTTTATTTTACCTCCAAAGTTATTTGTAGACTATCGAGAAATGAATTCGTATGATATGGTTTCTGAAGTACGTGAATTAGAAATAAAAGATTTTGCGAGACAACTGTTAGCTGATAAGCAGGGAGACCACGTTGAACAGTATATGAGAGGGAAGGGTCCAAATAAATAAAATTTAATACATTGTTAAGAGTTTTGAGGATAACAAAGTGTATACGTGTATATCATCGTGATCAGTCGCATCATCAGTAGTCTCCAAACATGGGTTAGTTATATTTCAAAAGCACTTCCATACTTGACTCAACTCAATAACCAGAGAAATCAAAGACTGGTGATTTGTCTTGGTTCAACCACTTTTCAATCTCTCGCATTCTAATCATACTTCATTTGGGTTGGCGGTGATTCGGTATAGACAACATATATCCAAGCCAATTCAGTGGAAGAATGTTGGTAACCTGTTTGACTGATTTACTTTGTCTAGTAATCTACACTTAAGCTTAACTTTGCTCTCTTGGTGGTTCACCCACATGCAAGCAATGCTTCGAAGATATCTTTGAATAAACGTGCACAAACGGCTCATGATTTATACCCTTAGTCACTAAAAAGTGATGTGTACTACTTTACAGTGCACTTGGCTTTTGTTTTTCTGTTGAATATTTCTTCGTGCTAGCGATGGGTAATTTGGCGAATGTCAAACTGTCTTTTTGTTTCTGAGTTGAGATTTTGTCAGCAAGCAGTCAGTTAAAGCTGGTGCTCACTCCTGAATAAGTGTAGTCAACGGATTTCACCACTTCGTTTCTTGTTCTTGAAATGGAGGGTTGGACACAGATCACTACTGACGCTTCATGTCACAGTTGATGGGTGTAACCGAAAGGAGGCTATGAGTCTTTTTAAATGGTACTGACTTTTTCGAACTAATATAATTTGACAAGAGGGTAAAGTTGGTTTTTAAGTACTCGTACCTTTTGCTCGTTATTTCTGTTTGCATTGAATCCATATTATTTTACATATGAAGCACTGCTATGCATATGCTATTTGGTTTGATTTGATTTGTTATTGTGTTTTTTCCTTTATTTTTCCAGTATTTCAAAAGTAGTTTTTCCTTTCATTTACTTTCAGCGAAGCAGCAAAGCGTCGTGTTGAACTTCTCAAACTAGTATCTGATCCTTCTGCACCATGTGAATTAGTTTTGACCGCTTTGAATCGATACCTACCATTATTAATGGGCTTTGTTTTACCGGTCGATAACAGCACACCTTATAGTAAATTAAGAGGTCTTGTTTATACGAAATGGTGTGACAGTATAAAACCAAAAGGTGAACCAATGTTTGTCATTTGTTCCCTTCTTTTTTCATTGTCATCATTATCCTACCGTGTCTCTTTAGTGCCCGTTATGATTCAATGTTTGAACTCTACTCAGTACTTTTCAATGTCGCGTTGTGGTATACTAAGCATGCCGCGAAAGTTGCTTCCAGTGAAAGGTATGTTTTAGTTTACACCTAATGTTGAACCTGATCACCTCATGTTTTATCATCAGTGTGTCAGAGGATGAAGCTAAAGACGTTCATTTGTCACTTCGATCAGCTGCTGGACTATTTAGTCTATTACGAGAGAAATATATGCACGAGTTCACAGAGTTTGTGTCAAACAGTGATTTGGATCCAAATATTCTGGACGCTTATATAAGTCAGTCTTTGGCCGAAGCACAGGAAAGTTGGTGGTACTTTGTTTTTTTCAGGTTTATTTAATATAATTTAATTTAAACTTAAGTTTATCTTTACATTTGATTTTCGAGTATGAAGGGTGGAGTGAAACATACTGCAGTGTAACTGTTATGAGTCGTAGATATAATTTCTCAAACACCTTAACGTCGGTAGTATAAAATTCCTGTTAAATTCGATGGGAATACCTAGTAAACATTGTTAATGTCAGTCATGAGTTGATGACGCAATGTATGAATATTACATGATACCATAAAGAATCTTATGCACATACTGAACTGTCAGGTATAGCATCAAATGCTTTACTAGCATCGAGCTATCGAAAAAACATCTTCATGTTCACACTAAATAATGAACCTAGTCCTTTAAAGCGAAGTGGCGATATAAGTTTGAAAACTAATTCTTTGCTATGCAGATGCTGAAACTTGAAATAATGTTTTTCTGTCAGATTTTGCATTTTTTCTGTCGATACACTGGAAAATATTCACATTTCTTTTCAAAGCCCACTGTTGATGAAAGATCCCTGGTTTTCACAGAGTTGGTAATGAAATAATCATCAATTTCAATTTCTTTCCGGTTTTGTCAAGTAGTTGACTTTATAGTGTCGGCTTTAGAAGTAAACTTGGGAAGCATCTTTTGTTGGTCGTTCTTCGTATCTAATTCATATACATTGGTCACCACTGTCTGTGATTTTCCCCAGAATTATTGGTTTATAAATCACTGTTCGTTTTTAAAAATATAATTATTATCCAATTCTTCTTATTTAGTTACTGTTGCCAGAGCAATCGAATTAAAACATAAACCCCATTTGATCGCGGCTCTAGCGAATGAAACTGCGAAATTCTATGAAAAGTGTGGTAAGCAGTATATTATCATCATCACTGTTCGCGGTTCATTGGTCTTTCCTTTTGTATTTACGATGGGATCTATTTTCGAAATTAGTTTATCATAGATTTCCGGGATATTCAGCATGTTATCATCACGTAAACGCTCACCATTGACACTAAGGCTTTGGTGATTTCGTTTTCTATTAAATGAGATGGATACTGATGAGGTGTACTACTGAGTTCTAAACTGTATTTAAAGGGTTGTCCAGTATTACTTCGTTTGCTGCAGTGCTTTAATTGGTTTTAGTTTACAGTCGGAAAGATAATCAGTCCCTAAAACCACCAAATCAGTTGTCCAGTAAATGTGAACAGCAACTTTCACTATCTTGGTTGTGTTGTCTGAGCTGGATAGTTTAGCCGTGAAGCTTTCATTGTCCTTCTAGACAAGATTATCAAAATCATACGAGCGTGACACGCTTAGCGTTGTTCAAAGATGAAAGAACTTCTTCAAGAGGTAAGCTTCCACAAAAGAACAACTGTTCTTTCTCCATGAGTGCCTACGTCAGCATGTCCGGCCTAAGAATGTCAGATATAGATCACCGATTGACTCTCCAATGGGATGAAAATTAGCTGAACGAAGTGAAAGAAAAATGGTAAAATTGATGATCACAGATACGCATTATCGAATCCGAAAATACCAGCTTATGGTTGACAGTCAAAACAGAAAACTAAAAAGCATACTTACGAGCCAACATATGACAACGTTAACTACAGCAATTAAAAAATCAAACAGGTGATACAAAGAACAACGGAAAAAAAATCCTCAGGAAAAACCTGATCATAAAAATTCAGAAACGCACACCTCAGTAAACAAACGACTATATTGCCAACTTATCAAAACAACTACTGGCACAAATGGAAGAACTTCAGCGAGGTTTGAATTACAATACAAAGGATGTCTCAAAACCAGAGTACTTCGCTGCATTAGAATCGTCGCTTAAAACATCGGGACTAAATGAGGACAACAAAAAGTACGACAAACAATCGTACCATTGACGGAAGAGACATTACGCTCGAACGACCACTCAGGGATAGGAAGCGTTAAAAACATTGAAAAGTATGAAGGACATCGTTATACACGGTTGACGTTTATTACCCGGCTGACTTCTCCCCCCTCCTCCCCCTAATATATTTAGGGTAGAAGAAAGAAATTGAAAATGATTGGCTGATTCCTCTGTTTAAAGGTCAGTGTTTGTGTGGCCAAGGTACTTTCCTATTGGACTAGGACACTTATTTGTAGGAATGTGATTAGTTGGGCTTATATAAGCTATCTGTATTTAGATTGGCTTATAAAATTATCATCACTTGTCACATAAATTCTGTTCTAAGAAATTAATCGCCATCGGATTAAGATTAGATCCAAAATGGATTTAAAATTTGTAGAGAATTTAATTCTGTAGTGACAATGTGTAATATTTCAGGGAGCCTGTTTCGAAATGTATTGAGAGTAATTGTCGTTATGATAATTGTAATTCCCCGTTGTTATACAGGGCTGAATTGCTCGACCTCTGTTGGTAAAGATAGGCTCCTATGCGGATACCTTGATACTACTGCTGATTTATAATGTAACATTGATCTCGGTGACTAACAGAGGACTCCAGGATTGGCGTCTTGTTCTATTTGGTACTCAGCCTAGTGGATAACGCTGTGCTGGTTTAAGCGACGGGTACTGAGCTCGACTCACAGTGGGAACCACATCACTCACTAAGGTGCTGCTATATCCAGCCGACGAGTCCCGAGTAGAATGAAACGCGCGTCCTGATAGTCGCCGACATCAATATATATTGAGTGTAATTTATAACTGTAAATGAGATTTTCAGAGAAATTTAAATTTTGAAATTATTAATCGAAAGTTTGCACATAATGATAAGTTCTTATTTTGGTAATAATTCAAACAAGATTACTGCCCGTGATCACACCAGTTGGAATATTTTCTGAATAACTTACTGGAATGAAAGCTTACCATTATTTGCAAACTTTCCATTTGAAATGTGCTTATAGTATATTACTCTATTCGACAATACAGAATCTTTTCATCGATATATTTAAATCCTTGTAGGAATACACTGCTAGCTGTAATTTTGAGGATAATGTTGGTGAGAAACTGATTACTCTGACGTGGTAGTTTTGACCAACATTAAGGTGGTGTTCGAAAGCAGGTACTAACCGAGTAATCACGTTCATATGGGCAAATCTTACAATGTATCTCCATGTTTGCCTCGAAATTGCTACCATGTACTCTGCACTTCGAAACTTTTTATTGTGAGTGGATTTGCTGTTCAAGTTGAAGTATGACAGCGGGGAAACTATTTTATTTCAGCTGTGATTAAGAGACAGCATTTATTTAATTTCCTATGCTTCTAAGAAGTGGTAGTGTATCAGAATTCTTGTTGTTATCAAATAACAGCAGTAAATTGGCCTATAAATGCTGTGTAAGTATTTAATACTTTGTGCTTAAGGTAAAAAGCAAGTATTTTTAGGGACACTTTCAATCATACTTAACAGTTTCAGAAATTATTCTGAGTTCAGTTCTTACATTTTTTCTATTTTCTTCAGTTGCACTAACGACCATTCCAAAAATTAACTTTAGGTTACAATAGGCTGCCTCTAGTAACCTTTTTCTTTCATCTTATACGCAGAGTTCCGATGACTAGCATAAATAATGTCACCTGAAATTTTTCATGGCTGAAGATAATTCACTGAGGTCATTCGAAGCGATATTTTGTAAACAATCATCTCTTCATGTATTTGGATATTCGGATAGGTACTTTTAACTGATATGCATCAAGATCAAAGGCTGAATGAATGTTATCAGTTGTAGCTACTATTAGCTATAGCTGACCACACACATTTAAATGAATAAACACAATAGGACATGACTTTATCTTTCACCTGTTCAAAGAGCTTTGATGCGTATATACGCTTCGACTTTTCAATTATCTGAACCTTAGCTGCATAATAGGTAGTTCTCATTTTCTGTCCTACACTTCTTCACAATCTACTATTCTGTAATACATTCATTCGGTTGATAATTGAAGTAGTTAAACATGCATAACCACTTCTGATTTATTTAAAAAAACAAAAAAGCCATTCAAATCACATTTTCGATGACCCTAAGAGGGACCTCTGCTCGTTCACTTCCCGTCATGAAGTAGAAATCCGCTTCTGGTGCAGTTTGTCTTCATCTAAAGTATGAAAGTGAGGTGGGTACAGCTGTGGGAGTCAAAGATGCAAATTACCTGTTTTTACGAAAATCCCTCTGATTGTCATTGATTTTACCTACCTGCCACGGGTTGCCTCCACATGCAGGGCATTCTAAACAAAGACTGCTTAGATGTGAATTGCATTCGCAGAATATATAAAATGTTGCATGACAACGGCATGCCATCCATGTGATGGTATGTGGAATGCAGGTTGGTGCATCACTTTGGAAGTATACCTCACAAACTCCTCTGTAGATATAATCCTCCTCTTTGTTTACATCTACATGGTCCATCTCAGAGTTCCGAGTGACCAACTCCATAGCCCCTCTTTGATGGTCGACACTGGTGTCTAGGTCTACGGTCAAGTTATTTTCTGGATGGGTAATTCCTGTTATACGCGACTGCAAAATTGTTTCAAATGGAGTTATTGGTCTTCCACCGTTTGCCACCGTGATCGTACTCACAGCTACAGCTGTCATTTCCATTTTTTCTTCGGAGCCACCTGAAACAGTGTGTCTGCAAGATGTTCTGGACTTGCGTCTACCGAAATGGGTGTCCTGCCATCTAAAATTTTCCTTACAAACCAGAAGACGGTGCGGAGTTGGTGTTCACCGTTGAAGAATGGTAAAACTGCCATCCAAAGTTGGCTTCTTGATGGGATGATGGATGCGGTTGATTGTGGAATGGAGTTTTGCACTGGTACATTGCGCTGCTAATTCTCTCGCACCACCCAACGGAGAAAAAAAAGGTAAACTGCGTCTAAGGGGATATTTCTTTGCATGCAGTACTTAATTATATGCCTGTATGGCGAGTTGTACTTCATGCGAAATCTACAGTTACACATTACAGGCTGTGGGGAAACAAGAAATACCACCATGATGTCTCTTACAGTAAATTCTTCTGAATGACTGTCAGCAGAAACTTCGATTTGCATGCTCATTTGAATGAGTGAGCTTGCTGCAGGTGTTGGGTTACTGAATAGGGACGCGAAGATAATATGAACACCCAGCTCACATTTATTGTTGCAATCCCGTAGCAGTTTCTGAATGCGCCTCTGAATCCAGTAACCGCTACGCAGCATAAGGCTTAGTATTGCACGACATACTGGCATTTTCCTGGACAGCTTATGGAGCTTCAACGTACGTTGAAGGAGCATGCAAATCGAAGTTTCTGCTGACAGTCATTCAGAAGAATTTACTGTAAGAGACATCACGGTGGTATTCTTTGTTTCCCCATAGCCTGTAATGTGTAACTGCATGCAAAGAAATATCCCCTTAGACGCAGTTTACCTTTTTTTTTCTCCGTTGGGTGGTGCGAGAGAATTAGCAGCGCAATGTACCAGTGCAAAACTCCATTCCACAATCAACCGCATCCATCATCCCATCAAGAAGCCAACTTTGGATGGCAGTTTTACCATTCTTCAACGGTGAACACCAACTCCGCACCGTCTTCTGGTTTGTAAGGAAAATTTTAGATGGCAGGACACCCATTTCGGTAGACGCAAGTCCAGAACATCTTGCAGGACACACTGTTTCAGGTGGCTCCGAAGAAAAAATGGAAATGACAGCTGTAGCTGTGAGTACGATCACGGTGGCAAACGGTGGAAGACCAATAACTCCATTTGAAACAATTTTGCAGTCGCGTATAACAGGAATTACCCATCCAGAAAATAACTTGACCGTAGACCTAGACACCAGTGTCGACCATCAAAGAGGGGCTATGGAGTTGGTCACTCGGAACTCTGAGATGGACCATGTAGATGTAAACAAAGAGGAGGATTATATCTACAGAGGAGTTTGTGAGGTATACTTCCAAAGTGATGCACCAACCTGCATTCCACAGGGTCCTGCAACTTTTGAAAACTACCTACAACAACATCGTTTCAAGGGAAAATCCCATTATCGGTCAAATTACACTGAGCAAAGAGGCGATAATGCATATTGAACACATCTTGATTATTCAATCGTTCACCGTAGTGTGCATAAACGAAATAAACGATATTATATGCAACCATCCCGGATATTAGCAGTGACTTTATGCTCTCCAATTCAGCTCCCGTCAACTTCCGCTCTCAAGAGCTATTATCGTAAAGCAGAGAATTGCAGGCATGATTATGAGTTAATCGCTACCGAGTCACTGTCCAGAAACCTAAGAACTTCGCGAGCACGAATGCCCGACAAGAACATCTCTGGGATATTCTCCAAAAATATGATCAAAACAAACAGAACTAATCTTCTTGTTACTACCTTATCTATTAACCGGCGTCCACTAGCCTTAAAACAAGTATACTTGTCGTGGGCTCTTCGGTCACCTTGAAAATGTGGATTTCACACAGCATGGTGTGTGTACGTCTGCTTCTCATGTAGGGCAACCTTCAAAGACTCTAAGGACGAAAACGTGGTGAGACAAAAACACTCCATAAAGATTGGTCTATTTTCGGTTACAACACTTTGAACGGTATCGTCGCTCATCATGAAAATAAAGCAACCCTTCGTCAGTTTGCTCCGTTTTATAGTACTTTCCAATTTCGTGCAACCAATAACGTGGGTTGTTTCCTCGTCCATTTTGATTGAACAATAAGTTACAGAGTGAGGGAGGGGTAGAAAATAGCAGTTAAAAAAAATTATTACCTTGGACCAAATGTATTTCGTTATACTCCCAGCAGACAAGTATGCACCACTATAGTCGTGGACAAAAAAGACCACATCAAGAAAGCGGAGTCAAGTTGTAACATTAACCTTGTCACAATGGGCATGACTCCTCACTCCATCACTTGGTACACTAAGTATTACGTAGTCATTGCATTGTTCTTTATGGCGTTAACTCTGAACAATATAGTACGGTAAACAGCAGAACAGGAAAGTTCAAAATAATTGAAAATGAGAAGTGGCTTTATAAAGTATTTTGAATAAACCCTCAATTTCCTTTGTCTTTATCGTTAGTATAACCGATTTCCTGCCAGTCATTAAATGCAAATCATCACTTGATGGACAAATATGCAAAACTTGGTGTAATTTGTATGAACAGGGTTTCGCGCGTATATTCTGTCAAACTAAGTGAGTAGCTAGGTCAAGTAAGGCGGTAATACTAACCAAACTAAATCGTGTGATTAGATGATTTTTGATGTGCGTCTCATGTAGTCTGGTGAAATGGAGAACATCAAGGAAACGCAGTGTATATCAAATATTTTCAATTATATATATATATATATATATATATATATATATATATATATATATATATATATATATATATATAAAAATGACGTCGAATTTAGATTAAAATCATTAACAAATTTTTTTACTGTATTCCCAGGTCTGGCTCTATCTCAGTGTGATCTGAAAATTGTTGGAAAATGGAAGAAGTATTCGGAATTCAAGCAATACTGCTATGAGTCCTATGTAAGTGCATTAATTGTACCACTAACCACTTCCTGAAAAAGCTAGAAAAGTCTTTTCAAATAACTTTGTTAATACCGTTTTTAATGGTGAACAGTAATTTTATTATCTTCGATTTTGTTGAATACTGTCGAATACGCTACTCACTGCATATCTTATCCTGCAGTTGATAGAGAAGTTTTAGTTATAGTTAGTAAAGTTGTCCATTCACTTGCAATTACCTAGTGATTCCGTTTTTTATTGATAGTATTGTACTGTCCTCATACATTTGGTTTCCTTTGCCAATATAAATAATTTTATAATTTAATTTTTTAATCTTATATTTAGCATAAGAAATGATCTAATTAAATTCAACTGTTTTTGTTTGTCTTCATCTCTCTTTAAAACAGTTTAAATATGCCTAACAATTTTATCTTTTTTTGATTAGTCATATCATGAGAAATTACTGTCTCTAAGATTTTATATTTCTTAGCAGTAGGGCTTGATCATTTTTTTTGACAAAGTATTCGGAAGGGTTCCTTAAACTATTTAAAGTAAGTAGTCAGTTCATTGTGGATGATCGAGTTGTCGAATTTTAGAACTGGTGGATGCCGTGTCAAAACACGGTATTTTTTGCACCAACGTTTCAAGGCATGATTTTCAGTGTGATTCTTTATCCATGAGTACTCAGTTTTGAGTTGCATGTCAAACAGATAAATAGTTTCCAGAGTTTAAGTTACTAAAAGCGTCATGCTCAACGTTTTAGAATTTATGACTTATCTGCTTAATGCGCAGACGTTTCAACTAATAATCTTCCTAGTAAGAACGTGTTAAGTTTTTTGTGGTGACTATTTGGTATTCTCTCATTTCGCATCCACTGCTAGTGGTTTTTACGAGCTTACCACTACTATTGGCCAAAATTTGGGTGCCCCATCGAGTGGCGATTCAACATTTTAGATTTCATATTTCTTTCTGGGTTTCGGTGTTTGTTATGGTGTCTACTAGGCATCGCTTCACTAACTAAATAATACTGTGACCAGTATAGTGTACTGTCGATCTATTTGGTGTTTATCGTATCTATCTTTTGTTGATGACAGTCGAGCTTATTTTTTAGTGGAATGGTTTCTGATTTACATGACTATAATTGAGTTAAGTATAAAATTTGTTTTAAGTTATGAACACCGTACACATTTTAAAATAGATTCATGAATTTACGAGATAGTACAAAATAATTGTGAGTTGCTAATAAACTTGTTTTTTTACACAATTGTTGTCCAAAGAATAATTATAACATTTCAGGTGTTCAACCACTGTTACCTTCGAAGCATAAACTGTATGTCGTGGTCCCACCTTATCGGTAACATGGAAGTCAGGCGTAGTTTCAGAGAGTAGAGGGGAGTCAGTTGATAAGGCTGTGAACCTTCTTAATTTCACGTAACTGAGAAATGTGTTAGGCATACTAAGGCACCGTCCGCTCCGTCTCAATGTTAACTGAAGTGGGTTCACGATGAAAGTTAGAGGCGATCGGACTGAAGCTCAACATTAGTTCGCAAAGTCCTTGACTGTTGGTCTGAACCGTTTAGGTAGATTTTCCGGTTGGGGTTCGCATGACCACAGAAACCAGTGGTTGGAGACTCGATGATATGACTCAGAATCCATGTCAGTAGCGCTGATGTATCCACGCCTTATCTTCATCCTAATTGTCATTCTAAATTTCATCATCGTCTCCTTGCTTTCTTTTTATGACTTTCTGCTACATTCCGCCTTGTTTTTTCATCTTTTTCTCTGGCACATTCTCGCTTGATGTGCTGGCATGATGTGTGACAACTTGAACCATTCCATTAGACAGTAATGCTAAGTCTCATGTTGATACTGACTGACTTGGTTAACATTTGCTTTGTATCAAATAATAAGCTATTCTTTTTGTGTTAAGCCTAATGATATTTTTCAGCTGAACTAAATCAAACAAATGAAGTGGGTTCGAACCCACTGGTTAGTTGTTTACTACTAGGACAACTGGTCCATATTCTGAGTAAAGTGAGGAAAAAATAGATACTGCAATCATCTGAGCTTATTTATGTCTAACGTTTGCTTCAATTGCTTTTAATTTAAACCATTTATCTATTGAGATTTCTATATATTTTGTCGTCTGGTTGATAAAGCGGTAGTATGTAGAACGAAACATATTGACGTATAATCATCAAGACTATTAGAAGTGGATGAAGTTATTAGAATATTTATAAAATTGTGTTGGTAGGATCATATGGTTGAATGTAATCATGCGCTTCACTTCATACTGTGTTATAATTATTTAGCATAATAACCTTGATACGATTGGCCTTTCAAGTTTGATCATCCATCAGAACTGCATTGAATCACATTTGATACCTTTTACTTTCATTTAAGGCTTATGTTTACTATGGTGAGGATCTGCTAGAGAAGGAAAAAGCCGGACAATCTGTTGCAGTATCAAAGGAGGCCTCTGTTCGTAAGTAATTTTTTTCTATAGTACTTTTTACCTTACCTCTTCTATTCAATATACCATTTAAAATTGCCAAGAAAAATTATGGTGGAAAAATCTGCAATAGTGGACTTACATTTTATTAGCAACAGACAACAGTCTTGAAAATAAGTAGTTTAATGTTTCAGGATTTGAGCGAAGAAAATTTTTTCTTGTCGATGAAGTCATTTACTAAGCTGTACATTCGTGAATATATATTACAGTGGGCAGAACGTTCCAGATTCTTTTCCGGTTAGGGGGCAAAATATATTGAGTAACTGAAAGAAGTTAATTAATACACGTTTGCGTTTAGAGTAGGAAAATAGACAACGGATTATGAAATTAAATGCAATTACGTAATGCAGGATGAATATATGGCAAAGTAGGAAAATGAACGAAGGGTTATGAGAATAAAATTGCGATTACGTAATACCGGATGACAGAGTATGGAAATAAGCAGGGGATCATGGAGATAAGATTGTAATTACGCAATGCAGGTTAAGTCTATGACGGAGTAGGAAAATGAACAAGATATGAAGGAAATATACATGCAAATATTGTTATTATTATTATGATTATTTGTCGCTTGGGTTCCTAGCAGAACATAGGGCTTCAGTAGTAGCACGTCGCCATTTCACTCTCTTCTCTTCTTCTGTCAACCTGGCTCCACGACTGCCCACAAGTTTTTATTTCTTCCTCACATGATCTCCTCCATGTCACCCTCGCCTCGGATGCCCAACTCGTCTTTTCGCCATCGGATTCCACTCGAGGACCTGGCCTGACGTGTGATGTCCCCAAATGGTCTTCTCAGTGTATGCCCAATCCAGTCCATCTCCACTTTCTTCAGCGTATTCGTTGGGTGATGGGTTGTTGGTTGGTTCGTTGCCAGGCAGCCAGCCAGCCAGCCAGCCAGAGTTCCTTGTTGCTTATTCTTATTATTCTGGCCATCTGACCATCTTCAGTATGGAGTGAGCGTAGGTGGCAGTTGTTGATGAATGTCTGTAGTTTGTTTGAAATGCTTTTTGTAACGTGGTAAGTTTCTGAACCATCAGATAGAAGCACTGACTTGACTGAATTAGTGTTGAAAATCCAGATGTTGTTCATGCTTTATGCTGAGTGCAGTAGATCTCCACACTGGTTTCAGATTAATGAAGGTCTATCTTGGTCTTCCGATCCTGGCTTTAACGTCCTCATCTGTGCCTGTGCCGCGTATGTAGGTGAAAGAGACTACTTCCTTTAAGTTTCTCCCGTTGATGGTAATTGGTGTTTGTTGTTGATGTTGTTGTTGTTGGTTGGGTATCTTCATCACCTCTGTTTTGTCTATGTTCACTTGAAGTCCCGTCTTCGCTGCATCACCTCTTCTGTCAACATGTGGTTTTTGCCTGTAGATCTTCGAGTTTGTGCTACAAGACATTAGACACAAATCATCATCGTTGGCGAAATCCAAATCTTCTTCTGGGGTCTTTTCATCGTTCCAGCCAGCGTATGCCCATCTTCTCGCCGCTCACTGTTTGCTGCACGGTCCAGTCGACTAGAATCAGAGAGATAATGGATGATAGTAGGCGACAACCTTGTCTTACTCCTGTCTTCATTTGAAAGGCATCACTGAGCTAAGCTTTTTATTGTGAATCACTTGGCACGTGGTGTTGTCACATATCTGCTGTTGAATGAATTTGATAAAGGTTTGAGGCACTAAAACCGTAGTGTTGAAGCAGCAGCAGCAGCTGGCAAATTACTTTTTGGTCGACGGTATCGAAGGCCTTTTCAAAGTCGATGAAGTTGAGGTAGAGAGCTGACTGGCATTCTACGCGTTGCAATTTGGTGCGCACATGATTTGTACTTCCTGAATCCAGTCAGCCAGCCTGTTCCGGTCGTAATTTTGAATTCAGCGCACCTCTCTCTATCTCTTTCCAGGATGATGCGGCTTAATGTTTTGCTTGGTGTGGGTGAACAGTAGCATGATTCTGTGCCAGTTATTGCAAACACTTAGGTCTTCCTTGTTTGGAAGTTTGACGAGGTAGCTCTTCTTGCAATCAATAGGCAGGTGCCTTACCTTCCCTCCAAACCTTCTGCAATAGTGGTGTGAGTGTGTCCGCTGTTGTCTCTGTGTCTATTTCCAGTGCTTTTGGAGGAATCGCGGGTGGTCGTGCTGCTTTCCCGGATTTCAGCAGCTTTATGGTGTTCAGGGCTTCACTTTTGCTTTTGTCGGAGGGTTTGTGTTCAGTGGTAAATCTGTGGCTGGGCTGCTGATAGTATTTCTGGACGAGTTGCAGGTGGTGGTGGTAGATTCAAGAGTTTTTTGAAGTAGTCAGTCCATCGTTTTCTTTTTTTCTCCTCTTTGGTAACTAGATTTCCTTCACTGTCTTTCATTGGTTTTGTTCGCATTGATCTCTTCCCTCCCAGATGGTAACCTGGTTATTTGATATAATGTTGTCAGGTCTCTGTTGTAAGTGGATTTTAGCCGCTTTTTTCGAAATGAAAGATGCATACAAGCGCATTCCTGCAGTCTCCGAGGATGGTGAAGAGCGGCATCAACTGCAGTATGGTTGCCTAAGAGTTTTCATAATCATTGAGAGTAGCATTGGGCAGCGAAGACTGAGAAGGTGGATATGCAGTAGGTAATAATTATCAAGCAAACTATTAAAAAAATGTTAATGTTTAAAGAGACTGTAGCAGCAAAGAATGGATCTTCGACTTATCTCATAGGAGGCTATTTGAACGATAGCTAGAACACTTCCAGGAGCGGTTCAACTACTGTTCCTTTGTCCGTTATCTAGTCAAATCGTGAATAGAACATTAAGATAGAGTCTTCAATACTTGCAGAAGTAACCTAAATAAGAGTAGCTGAACCAGATGGGATAGTACCGAAGTATTCAAGGACGGTGGTCATCAATTATTGGTCAGGTTAGTTGAAGTACTAGCTAGCGTATTAGAATCAGGCATGATACCCTTTGACTAATTCAGTCACTGATAGTCCCTGTCTTCAGGAAAGCTTATCACTGTGCAATGAATCTGACGAACATAGCTTCTATGATCCTAGGTTCTGATAATCACCAGACGTCAAAGTAAAGCTTATGAACAGTGGATCCAAGAGAAGCAGGTTTCAGGGTTGATCGTGCGTGTATCGACCAGATACTCATCCTCCATCATTTTCTGAAACACAGGCGCCCTTAGATGCACTCAACAATGACTTTATCCCTTGTTCTGAAGGCATCATTCGACTCTATCAACCAAAAGGTCTTGTGGTGTCTCTCACTAAAACTCGTGCCAGGTAAGCACATCACTCTTTTGATGGCACTGTATTTAAACACCCACGGGCCAGTTGCAACCTATGGTAAAGTGTCTCTGGTGAGTTGTGTACGTTGATTGATATCCATCAAGGATGTTCACTGTCTTCATTCTTATTTAATTTTGTCATAGACATACTTCTAAAGATCTCTTTCTCGTTTGACTTTGCCGGATATGATTTTACCACAGGAAACTCCTTAGTAGACCTGGGTACTCAGATGACGTAGTCTTGTTAGGTCAAGATACTGATAGGATGCAATCTTCTAATTATCTTACGTGACAATGAGAATGTTTTGAATGTACTTTGTATCAAAAAGATGCTCCAGGACTTGTGTGGGTTGGTACCTACTTGGGAAGTAAGATCAACTTTGGTGGGATGTGTAGTCGACGAAATCTCTTCACGGATACGAAAGGCTCGATTGACGTTTATCAATTTGCACCATGTATAGTGCCGTATCTCGGACTTGATAACTAGACATACCTGCATGCCAGTGAGTGTTTGTGGTCTCTTTGTGATACGCACCCAGTACAGACATTTTCAGAGTAACCGTAATAGCAGCACACATTTCAACAGAGTCTGATCAACAACGAGAACATCCGAAATTCCCAACAAAATCTAATGCCAATTGAGCAAGACGTGGCTATCGTAGCCCAGTAGTCTCACGCATAAAACTGGTATTTAAAGCAGCAGATACTTATTTTATGCGACATTAGGGGCAGTAGCACATTAGAATTTGAGTTCATGAAGGATTTCGTTGATGGCCTTTACTAAGTGTATAGCTAATACAGATTTCATTGGGATTGGTGTAGCTTTAGCACTAAAGTCTACTGAAATATCACTAAGTGTCGGGATAAATGTGAATAGAACATATTTTGAGCTACGACATGGAGGACATATCCATAGCAGTTTAATTTGATCATGAATATGCACCTCTAAAATTAAGAGAAGTCAGTGGTGAGGATTCCTCGAATCCTAGTCGATCATCAAGATACAAAAATTGAAGGCTCCACGTTCAAACAACATGTATGTTTTCGAGTATCTGATTCAGAATTTACATCTAAGACCAGAACTTCCAACAATATGAGCTAGCTGAATGAAATAAAGTTGAAGGTAAAACTAATGACTACAATTGTTCACTAGTAAGTACAACAACAAATGACAATAATTGTTATTATGTGGGAGACTTTATTAAGCGGGAAGAAATCAAATGATTGCTCCTAAATGAAGAACATTTCTCAAGGACTTGTGTCCTAGCTAAAAAAGTTAGCTAAATGTTCATTTCGATAATCGTGATGGTTTAAGTGGCAGTTTTTAACGCTTTCGACATCAGGTTTTAAAAGGAAGTGGAACACCTTACAAAGCAGCACCTCCATTGACATTGACGGAATAAGTTCATATAAAAATCATCCCTTCTGATTGAACACTATTCAGAATCCTATCTCTGCAGGTGAATCTACTGTATCAAGAGTGGCAGGTTTCAGCGCTGGACAACCATTACAACCTTCCACGTGTATGAGAATACTCAGACCACATAACGGTGGTAAATAATAAACAATATGAGATCCAATGTTAATATATAAACCGGTGGTCGCTGGTTCGAATTCGACCGCGGTACAGATTTTCATCTCACCTTCAATCACCACCCAGTACAAATACTAGTCTGCCAAACTGCGGCTATCTCAGATAGTCAAATAATAATCAGTATGTTTAGTCATCACTTGAAGGTTAATAGTTTATATTCACTTCTCATATTCATTGTTATTATCCGAGAGATTATCAAGAGTTTGGAAACCTACGTACAGTATTTAACTTAGAGAGTTGATAGGTGATACCTAAATATGTCTCGATAGTGTTCTGTAATAGGGTATCAGTGACTCACTCGATGGCATTTTACGACGGAGATCAAATCTTCACGATACACTGCTTGCACGAAATTATGGGTATTTACATTCTCGGAAAATAGGATCGACCGATGATTTAGATGAGACCGATCAGTATCCTTCCACGATTGAGCGTGCCTTGGAGAACTCAAGGAAGTAATTCCAGTAGGCGTTGTTTAGATAAACTGTATATTCCGTGTATGTTATTGCAACTTACACTTTGTTAATCCAAAGCAATACTGATTCTTGGTAGGGGAGTAGAATTGATAGTGTGATAAACATATGTTGGTATACAGACCACTTGTCTGTAATTAGTACGGTATCAACGGAATTTTCAAGAAGCCATCCTAGAGACGGATAAAGTTTTGAGCCAAGTTATCAGTAATGTAATCATGCTCAAGCTACAGCTGTGTCATCAGTATTAACCGTGAGCACTGAAGAATAGATAGGATGCATTGACCCCTACAATGAAGCTAGTGTTTTTCGGGTTCATGTTGTCATACTGTTCTGTATTAAAAGAGGATCCAAAGTGTTGTGTATGATTTGTGTAGCTAGTTAGAAAGTACACTTGAAATTAGTGGTCTATGGTAGCCCTCTGCCGTGATGTACTTATTCGAGCTGTTGCGATTTGATTGGTTACACAAGAACCTCGTTACAGCTTTGATGGTGACTGACTTTTTGATAACAGTATGTTAAGGGTGTTTTGCGTCGTTGCCTTCTGTACGTTGAAACATTCGGATACCATCATTATGAGAGCATCAAAAGCCTTTTTTGAGAATTCTGTGGGACGGCAGAGAATTTGCACCTCAGGTATTGCTCTACAGCAGATATCTATTTCTAGATAGCTATCATCACGCATCAATGAAAGTTGGACCGTGATTCTCAGTTAGCCAGTAACCGATATTTTTCTATTCCGAACACATCAGGGGTACTGATTCTTTTAGAAAGCCCCTTCAAAAATAATGCACGACTTTATTTTCTGCATTTCTTAACTTGGACTAGTGAAGAAAATGTTCACTGGACGGAATAGTTCGATAACTTAATTGTAGTAGTTCTGTGCTGAAGCTTTTACATTTACGTATGTTTTCTTACTCCGCGGAACGAAATTTACAGGCAATGTTTTAAATTACATGTCACTGACACACAGTTAGCAGAAAGGTACTAAAAATCAGTAAAAACCACTGTAGAGTATTTTGGTGAAAAAAGAATGAAAATTTGGAGGAAATGAAACTGTCCAATTATACACTCAAACGCATTGATTGCTGACGAATTATCAGCTCAGATAGAGAGGGCCCATTTGACATTTGCCAACTTGCGTCATCTCTGGTGCCAACCGTTGAGATATCCAACTACCTATTAAAGAACGAGTGTACTGCACTGCATTCCGTTCTGTCCTGGTATACGGCACTGAGACATGGTCATTAAAAGTAGAAGACATGAAGCAGTCACAGGTTTATGATCATAGGTGTCTTCATACCATTGCTCGCATATGGTCGTCGATCATCATGTTAGCATTGTAAAGATTAGGCAAAGGGTACTAGTCAAGTCGGTCGATAAAACTGTGAACCTCCGACAACTAAGGTGTGTTAGGTATGGCGAGCCACCGTCTACCCTGACGTTCAGTGCTAGCAGAAGTTGGATTAGTGAGATAAAGTTTCAGGGTGGTCAGACTAAGACGTGGCTCCGGTGCAGAAAGTGTCTGACTGTTGGTCTGAACTGTGTCAAGAGGTGTTGACTACCTGGCTTGAGTTCGTGGGACAATAGGAATCAATGGTTGGTGACGTGGTTGAAAATCAGTCACAGTGGTGCAAATTTATTCACTCTTTGACATCTAAAGCTTGAGTATTTTCAGTAGTCATCATTTTCTAATTCCTCCCATACTTTGATAACAGTCTTTTTCTATCCACTTTTCTTTGCATACTGTTTTGGAGTATAGCAACTTTGACCGATACACTTCTGTGGGAGGTTCTACATTAATTTTATCCATATGTCTACAGTCATAATTAACTAGCGAATAAATAGGTTCTTTCTTAATAGTTTACTATCATGTGCCACTCTCGAAGCTGATCTTAGTTTCATCAAATAAAGCTTCTGTAGTTACTCTAACCTTTTTTCACACCAAATTTAAGCTAGTGTTTACTATTTTAAACCGTAAATATTAGCATAGTTCATTCTTTCATTTTACGTATTTTTTGTTTCTTTCGTGACATTCAGTTTCATATAAGCTTCAACAATATTTGGCACTAAATATAGGATTAAAGAAGGTGATTAAATACACGTCTTTGGATTCTTTTATATATCCTTGATATTTTAATTTTTAATTGTTTCTCTGAAGAATCCTAAACCCGACTTCCGCGCGAAACATTGGAATTATTTCATTTTAAACACGCTGTGACTTACACAAATATAAACTATATTTAGTGTCAATCTTTTACTCAGCGCCCAATGTCTACGATACTATTCGGTTAAATCTTGATCGTAGTTTATATAAATTTGATAATATTCGTTAGGGTATCACTTCGTTGTTTAGTGGATACTAGATCCAAACAAGTATTACTTTTATGTCTAACAAAAGCCGTCATTTCACTGAATAAAAATATAATTGGATTATTTACAAAGGTAGCAAAATGCAGTGTATAATGACAGAAAAATGTATTATGTCATGAATCGATTGACCGGGAGTTTATATATACGTATGTATTTCTTTTGAAACACTTTTTTCAGCATATGAAAAAGCAGTTCGTGCTTCACGTGAGTATGTGAGAGCTGAAGGAGTTAGTTTATCAACTAAACCTCCTGATCATTGCTTCTTTCGCCGTCTACCTGGACTAATTGAACGGACACGCAATAAATGTGATCGGGAGAATGGTTTGATGTAAGTTTTAACTGTTTCAGAAAATGGTGTGTTCTAGGAGTATTTCTTGTTTATTGCATGTCAGTATCTCGTTTCCACTGACTGGATTTTGTCGAGATTTCCAACTTCCCCATCTCGAATTATTTGTCAGGCTGATCTGGTTACAATTCATCACTATGGGTCACTCAGTTATGCTTTGTAGTTTCAATGAAAATTGACCAGAATTATATAGGTAATTAGTTACAAAGTAAGCTTGAAACAAGGAACAATTTGGACGAAAACAAATTTCAATTGGGCCAATGCAAATTGCAGTAAAACTCATAAGCTGAATACTCTGTATGCTTCTATATATATATATATATATATATATATATATATATATATATATATATATGTCATGCAAAAGAGGAATGCATGCATATTTAACACAAAATGAGACGTAAGTGAAGCTTAGCAAAACACAAGTGAACAATTTCCATAGGTTCAGGATAAATGTGAGAAGTATGAAGCGGATATTCAAATCGATGATGATGATGACTCAATAAATCTGTGATAAATTACGTTATGATGAATTATATTAGTTAAATTAAATCCCTTCCAGCCTCTTCACATTTCCACTTGAGTCGTGGAAATTGTTCGTTTCTGTTTTCCTAGGTTTCATTCAGTGTTTCACTTTGTTTTATATGCGCACATATTCGTTTGTTGGAAAATGGTGTATATAATCACGCATATTGAGTGTTCAACTGACGAGTTTTACTAATATTGATGAATATACTGATTCCTGTTTTCTTCATATTCAACGATGGCTTAAATTTTGTTTCAGGAAATACTTTTAATTTCTGAAGAAGGTAAACCATCTTGCACTGCTGTGGTAGTTAATAGTACTCTGGTATCTATGTGAGGTAGAAAAAGTGTTGCATTACAAATCAGTTGTCAAATTCACTTCGAAATTGATGCTACAGGTAAGGAATTGTCGGTTCTTTAGGTGCATCAGTCAGCATAGTGTTAAACACAAATCAATTTTATTCATCAAAACTACTCTAACTCTTCATTCTTTGAGGAAATCAATAGGAGAAAGCTTAAAGAACTTTACATAAGATTCTTTTATTCATGTATATGGTACACTACACGCTTTTACAATTGAAATTATTTGATTACAAAGACATCAGTGTAGGTATGAAAAAAATTATCGTATGCAAAAAATATAATCTCACTGATACTATTGTCAAGGAATTAATAGACGATCAAGCATAGGCATTTAATGACATGTCAGTGAATTTCCGTCTGAGATCTTTCAGTCTAGCTGGAATATTCAGTTGAACACCATTTATTATATATCGAAAACTGGAGAAGATTCCGTGGAAAGTTTGCTTGTACTCTTCACATGAGTTGCTGTTAAATTGAGTAGCTTTATCAAAAAGCTTAGAAGATCCAACGTCATCTGTAATCATACTGACAGCTGTTTTTCATAGATTATTGATTTGCATATTTATTTATTTCCTAGTTTTGGGGGTCAGCATCTGAGAATCATGAGATTGCAGAAGTTATACAGGTTACTTTGCTTATTGGACTCTTTGTCCCCACGGATATTATCTCCTCTTTGTATTGTATAAGACTACATTGATTGATTAGTGGAGAGCAACCAATTTCATGTTTTTTAGTTCCGAGTAGTAAGCGTATTCTATCGATCACCTTTGCAGTATGGCCACCAAGCTAGGAAACTCACCATCACAATGCACTTTGATGGGTGTTGGTTGGTTGGATACAGTCGGTAGGAGGAGGGAACATCACTTCCTTCCAGTTTGCAAATGACCCTTGCTGACGAATGTCAGCAAGCACAAAACCTGGGTCTAGGGCTTCCTGCTGATTCCCTCCAACCACTCAACAGTAGTCTACACTTCTTGTTCGTTTAAATGTTATGTGGCACTGGTATTCAATAGCGCAGCCATGGTCTCACATAGGAAGTTTTCACTGAAGAATTTTATTTCCTAGTACGCTGCTTCTAAAGGTGATTTCGAACTGACTGAAGGATTTCAGTCAGATGTGTAAAAGTGGCATAGTAGGACCAGTTATTTATTTTCCAAATTGGATAGCAGTAGATTATATAAGTAATTGTTGGAGGTCTCAGATTTGCACAAAAATCCATTTTATCCTCACATTTCTAAATCCCCATCTTCGCGCCTTTTTTACGCCATGGGCAGTAGTTCGTTTCTCTCCCCCCTTTTTCAAGGTAATTAGCTAATTGGTTGACTCTTGCTTTTACTATGTTAATCTTCTAAACTCTGGATTAGGTCATATTTTCAATCTTTTCGGAGGCAATAAACTCTCCCATTCAACGCAATCTTCTTCCTTTTTATTTTCGTCTGGGGTTTAAAGTAGGTGATATATGGAGTACTTGCTGTGTAATACTCAGGAGCATAAAAGTGATATGTGGAGCTACGCAACCATAGACTTCAGATAATTAAAATGTGAGAATGTATTCGTTCATCATTTTCCTCAAAAATTGATTACGTTTCTGGTAGGTGTGCTCACCATTGTCCTTTGAATGGGTTCTTTTACAGATTTGTATACCTGTTAAAGTGAGTGGCATTTTTGGGGACTTGTCATGACGGATCAATAGTACATCTTTGTTTTCCCCTTTGTCGTTTATATTCCTTTGAAGGAAATCTTCTGATATACCGTTTTTCGTTACTGTACTTATAACAGGCTTGGCTCATTGGTCTAGGTAGTTGGTCACTGGTGTGAACCTACCTTCACCTTCCGACGTTTGAGTAACCAGGTAGTATCACTAACCAGGACACAACAGATGTGACTCATTGCCTACTGCACGAACGTGCACAAGGTCGCTGAGTCTGTTTCGATTGGATTTTGACTTCCGATTTCGGGTATCAGTCATTTTTAAAATCTCGCCATTACTGAATAGCTCCTTGGAATCCATAATCAGTTATAAACTATCTTAATATAAATACTATAGTAAATCCGTCCAACTTCGTCGGTTCAATAAATATTTTTTTGGCAGGATTTTTATAGATCGTTTACTAAAAAACGTATAAAATTTTCTATACGTCTAAGTATAATTTTCCGTCAACTTAGAGAAAGAATACCTCGAAATTTGGTGACTAACAACTCATTTTAAGGATCTTTTTGTTATAACTGTTGAACAGTGTAATCATATCATTCATTACTAATGGACTTTAATTCGAGTTAGGCAATTATACTTCCCTGAGAAAACGAAACTTGGAGTTTGCAGCTAATTATGGGCATCACCTTAACATCAAGATTCTAGCATGTGGAAATTCCCGAACGATTTCAATCACAAGTTTTCAGCTCGTGTTCATACAATTGGGCGTATGTCCAGATTTTGGGCTATTCAGAAATGCAAGACGGGTATATTTTGATTATCAAGATGAGTAATTGTAATAATTGGTTGAGAAGCTTTTTTCTCTCATTGATCTACTTTGAGGATTTATGAAGTCTTTAAAAAAAGTTAGTTTAAATACCATTTATTTCGAGTCTGTGTTAGTGATACTACCGAAGCAACGGTATGTGTGTAGGTTAGGCGTACAAATAATGAGTTGAATCACTGATCAAAATTCAACATATTTTGGTGATCTTGAAAGTGATATTTTGAAACTGGATTTAACAAGTGGATTAAAATTAATTCATTACTGAAACATGTTTTCGACAATTGGTTTTTGCTTTTAAAGAGATACACTAATAATGCAGAGATTCTTCAAATGCTTAAAATCCTTTATTCAACGTGTACAATTATTATTCCTCTTACTTTTCGTCCCACTCAGTTTCAATCATACCTAACGCATATCTTTCAAATGTTAGTTTTTGTATGCATATGTGTTCAACTTGTTTCTTCAACCTATGGTAACTTAAATGTGCTCATCGCTCAAGCAATGAGTCCTAGATTAGAATTCTGCTCCGCCTATTTCTGCCTGAATAACCGGTAGTATCATAAACTTTCACTCTCGCAGCTAAGTACATAAAAATGTACCATGTTTAGTGATATTTTTTATTGGTCTCTCAAGAGATATTATTAATTTTAAATTACTAGCCATATATTTGTAGCTCTTATTTATACGTTATAAGTGTTGTGCTAACTGCCAAAACTTGCGGATAGCAAGTAAATACATTTCTTTTGTGCAACTTCAATTGAGAACAATATTTTTTTTACAATGTGAATTGAGTGTGCACACTAAGCATACATTTTCAACCGAAAAATCAATATTGAACTCCATTACATATTGCCATTGTAGATATTAACATGCAAACAGATCATTTCTAAAGGTTTTTAATTACCTAATAAGGTCAAGGTTATATTAGTTGTAGAAAATTAGATTAATCTATTTCTATTGCCTGGTTTAATTTTCCAATAATATACATTATTATGTAGCATTCCATATTTTGCTAATTGTAATATTTACGATGTTTGTCAAAATGCGAACATCTTGTATCTCTGCGATTTAGTGTTTTTTTCCATCATGTTTATATATTTGAGTATAATGCGAAAGATATAGTTAGCTCACTGAAGTGAGATGATTTGCAATCTATAGGCCCTAAATCATGTGATCTTAAGCTGTGAGGATTCATGAAAGTTTCTACATAAAAGGTTTTTTTATGAATACATGAGATAAAAAAAATATTGATTACTGAGGCTTATTGTTACTCTGATATTTTATAGTTTTTTGGTTGTGAGTCATGGGCTGGAAGTTGACTGTGCGGCTCTCTGATGGTAAACAACAGTTACAGTTTAGGAGAAGCTTTCCGACGTTAAGTATATTCCAGTAATATGGTTACTCAGATTAGTACTAGACTAGTGGACTGATAGCACTGTCTTAATTTGAGTGGGGGGTATTTTCAATATGTTATTTGTTAAAATATCACATTGTTTCTGTCTGATCTTTGATGGTCATTTCAATTTCTTCCCAGCCATTACAACAAGCATGAGAAAACAAATCGAAATCCACTCAGCTGTTATGTGCACGTTTATGCAGTAGACAGTAAATCACACCTACTTTGTTAGGACTGATGGTGGTACCTCACTTCCCTGATCTAGATAGATGAAACTGGGTTCGAATCCATGACCCATCGGTTGGTGGTCGAGGGCCTAGATCAGTGAGACAAAGCTTCACTACAAGCATGAGATCCTAGATAATACGTACTGAGTTCCTTGAAAGCACACTGACGTTTTGCCTGACAAAAATTCACTAGGATTAGTGCAGTTATCTAGATTGATGAGGTGGCTAATAAGTTGCACTATCTTTTTTCTTATCTTTGAACCTCATTTAGCCCGAACCCTTTTTAAGGCATAAGTTTGCTACCGACAAGAGTAAAACGTATTTCAAATCCATAATTTTTCGCAGAAGTTTAAAAACACTGGACTTCCCAGGGCTTTTGCTGTGCAAGAAATTGTATATAGAGTAATTTGTGTGAGTTAGTGAGGAACTGAACTTCATGACTTATAGTTGTAACAAATCTAAGTGAAGATGGAGAGGATGGATTCAACTGGAAAAACGACTCACTGCGATACATTCACGTATTAGATTTTTCTAGTTCACTCTTTTCGTATCTCAGAAGTGATTTTATCTCCAGAGATTTCCTAACATACGTAGACTACACCAAAGACAGTCTTTACTGGGTAAAAATGTTAGCCTTTCTAAAATTCTGATTTAGGTTAAGTACTTTTGAGATCGACTTTTCATCGTTGAAACTCAAAATCCCTTTTTAGTGATTGTGTCCACTTTTGCATTGTCTGACAGTCAGAAGCGAATGGGATGAAAGTTTTGACCACTTCGCTTTTTTTGAGTGTACCACTAATCCGCATGGACTGTTTATTAACATAACTTCCACTTGAATGTAAAAGGATTTTTTTAGTTTAACCGTTTTCTTACAGATGTGCAGGAGAAGCATCCAAATTTCTGTGATGAGTATAGTTTAATGAATAGTATTGTGCTCTACCCTTCATTATGGCTATGATATCAGGATATTAAGACCGAAATATATTCAGGGATTACAGGTTTTTAATTATGATTCCTTTCGTAGGGTTCACAGTGTGAAGCGGACACACTGTATGTGGATTATGAAGGATAAGTGTAATATACTAGCTGAGGGATATTTTCATTGATGAAGTTATTAACCTTCATCAACGTTAAATCAGGCTGTTTATTTTCATTACAATTAGGGTGACGCACATCGTTGGGGAAAGAGTATAACGCATCATTCTACAGTATCAACAGTTGAAATCCTAGATGCAGTAGACCATAAATTCCACCGTCAACTTGCAATTTATTGACAAATTGCTCGATTTAGCTTACAAAATCTGCCGAATGGTGTGAGTGCTTTTGGTCTACTTATGCTTTTTAATTGTATATTTCGGCAGGATACCTTCCGGCTTAATAGGTTTTCCACCTTACTAGCCAGTTTTCGTACCCTGTTACTCAGACATGTAACCAGGCTTGTTATAACTGATATCGGATGAAATAGTCTAAATTCCAAGTACTGATTGGAATGTGAAGGCTTTTTGCAAACACCAGCATCTAAGCCTAAGTCTTGATTTCGTGTGATTTTGCAATCCAGCATAGCTAGAGTTCTCCCTAGTCACCTTCTAGTTCATATGTGAGTTGCATTACATCAACTATTGAGTTTATATGTATAAGAAATGTGTCGATATGTTATGATTTCAGCACTGTATATGTGTTGTTCACCTATACCCACCATACTTTAAGACTAGGTTTAAATATCCCTAAGGCAATGCATTCCCAACAATCCATAGATATATCCACAATCCAGGATATTAGTAATCCCATGAACACTCGTTTGTTTGTATATTTCACTCTAAAACTTAAAGACGGTAGAAGTCATGCATCATTATCCCCTCCTCCCCCCTAAAATAGTTATCCCAACTGGTATTCGGATCTAGGTGTGAGCTGTTGGTCAGCATTGAGTCCGTTACTAACTGCCTCAAGAATTATGGTAATTAGTGCAGAGGCCAGTTACATCAAAATTAATCTTTTTGTCGTTTTATAATTATATGTCCTTTAATCTCTGTTTTATAACATAAGAATCAATAAGTCCTGACCGTGAACAATTTCTAACTGGGACTGATATCATTGCTAAATATTTAGATAGCTCATAGGGTTAGAGTTTTGCTGAATCCAACTTTGGGACTATTACTGTTAGGCAACAAACCATACCGTTTCAGCTTACTTGGGAACGAGTTCATTCGGTGTACTAGATGAGCTATCGATTTCTGGCTTCTTAATTTTCTTTACTATCCCGTTTTGATATGTTTAGTACCTTTTTTAATGTAGTCGGATTTGCCTAGTATTACTAATTTGGATGCTTTTATACCCCTATCATTTGAAGGCTTTTTAAGCTTTATTTTTTTGCTTTGTGAAATTTTGACTTGTTTTCTTCTACTTTTTCATTGTTAATGCACATTGTGCTCAGAATTCTTCCTATCGAGTTTATTAAACAAAACAGTTTGGTCTACTAAATTCCATGTTACGACTGTGATAACAAATGCATAGGTCAAATATGCCGACCTGAGTTAATTTCTGTACCACAACATAGAAACCTAGCCAAATACATAGAATGTTAAACCCTTTTGAGATAAGAAACCTAGAAAGGAGCTCAGCCACAGCCTTGCATTCTGTTACAGACAATCATACAAAAAGATGGGATACAGTGACAGCTCAAAATAATAACTTAGATACATGAAGTTAGAGACTGGTAACTGAAGTTTAGTTTATCGAATCGGTACCCAACAAATGGAATGGAAATAATGCAACACAAATTAAATCAAGGCATGAAAAACAAAGGAATTATAGTGACTGAATCAGAAAGCTTTATTTTTCTTTGATATCAGTATGAGCAATTAATTCCGCTCGTAACGTCATCAGTAAATAATACTGTTTCTTAGTGTGATGCACAAAAAAGAACTATAGGCGAATTACGCTCTGCAGTGGTGCCCAAAGTGTAGTCTCGTGTTAATGAATCATTGTAATTAAGAATAATTTAGCTTATGAAATGGACACAGACACTTGAAGCATAGTATTGAAAGTGCCTATGCTATTTTTCATCAGTCTTTTATGATCATTTATTTTTAAGCTATATTTTTTAGTATTTGATAAATATGGCGAAGAATCCCTTAGATCAATTTACGTTTAGTCTTTAATTTCTTATTCGTTTGTTTGTATCACTGTTTTTCCATCATTTATGAGAAGCTGGAAAAGATTAAGTTTTTATTATTGATTGTAATTTCTTGTTGATTTTTCCTTACTGGATCGAATTGGTCTGCCTCTTCTGGCGTATGGACTACTTGAAGGGATGACTCAACTTTCATTTTGATGTTATTTGCTTGATGGAGGTTAGCAGTGGGATCCAGGATGGGCGTCTCTTCCCTTTTAGGATTTGTCAACTGGATGTTCGTGCATCCTAGTGAGTAGTGTCAATCCCACTGAGACTCGAACCCAACGCCCATTGTTTCATACCTCATAACGTTATTCACTAGGCTACTGATTAATGAGAGCCACCTTTTGTGAAGTGGGTATCATCTGTTATATACTTTATTCTCAGTTAACTTTTTTATTTTTGGCATTTGAAACGATGGGTGTTGAATTCAAGTCTCAACGGGATTAGCATTACCCACTAAGATGCAAGTACATTCAACTAACGAGTCCCAAATAGGACAAGACCTGCATCCAGGACTCCACTGCTACCCGTTACTAAGCAAATATCATCAAAACAATTAAAGCTTGTTCTAACTAATTATGCATTGCAATTTCAGATTTCACCAAAAGGTTCCAACTGTGGCACCATTTCTCGATATCAAAGCGGAATATGGCGTTGCAGTACCCAAGGAACCGGAACTTAATTTTAACTTAGATCCTAAATGGAAAGATGTATACGTTGGATTTGATACAAGTAAAGTTTTAGAGAATATGGTTTCAACATCTGTAAGTTGATTATACTTACTGTCAAGGATTTTGTTCACTATTTGTAAATGATAGAGAGTTTAAGAATTGATGTTCCTCTTCCAAATGTCAGAGAATGTGTTTGACACACTATATTTCTTGTCAGTATCCACTTTACAACAGGTATCCTACAAGAGAGATTCTATTTTCTGCTATTTCGTACACAGTTAACTTCTTAAGCATGACAGAACTTTAGGCTATCGACTTTTATCTACTCTAACCTACTTTAATGTGGATGGATGCATAGTATCTTCACCCGTCAGGCGATTTGCTTATCCAATGCATGTAGGTGCGTTGTATTCTTCACTAGAATTATATTGTGTAAGATGTTACAAGTCAGTTGGGAAATTGTCGTAAATCTTTCTTACATTTGTTGGTACTTAACTTGAAAGCATATCTGCAACCTTAGTGAATATTGTTTTTCCTTAGGAAATTCGAACCCTTACTGCATACTCTTGAAGCCAAAGACCTTATCACGGATCGTGACTGATCCCTTGTGGGACTGAATGTTTATAAGTTGATCCAGATTGTTAGTTTTCAAACTTTATTTCAGTTAGCTGACGTAGGCTTCAATGGCACGACCACAACTTTTATGCTACTGAAACAAATATCAATCTTTAAATCATCCAACCTACAGATTATACGCATGAAGAAGCTGTCAAAGAGGAACCTGCAAAAGTATTGATACAGTTCCTGTCACATAAGTGGTAGATAAGTTTATACACACATCTGCTAATGACGTGCTAATTATAATTATTTACTTTCAATGACATTCGTAAATTTTCACTACGTGGGTTTTTTGTAAGCCAACAACTTCGAAGGTAAATATTGGGGAAGGTATATCACTCCTTTAAGTGTGGTTGTTCTTTGACTGAAGAATGCATAACTGTTAAGTTGTGCAATATCAACACTGGAAATCCTCAAAACAAACTAGAGGTGAGTGGAATTACCAAACTGAATTGGTTCACTGAGAACTTAGCAGAAGGGTACATAACAATGTATGTAAATAGATGATCAGATGGCTCTTCAATTAGAGCACTAGAAACATTGACGACTACCTCTAAATATATGAATGGTAGTGTTTTATACTTGTGTTAAACTTATAATAGATGTCTTCTTTTATTGTTATATGTTTTCCCGTTTCTGAAGAATTAAGTGAAAAATGAGATCAAAAAGTTTAGTTTACTATACAGGTGCTCATATGCATATACCACGATTCAGGATTATCACTATTTTTCGGAAGCTTTATTATTAGGTGGAAGGTTTCTACGCACTTGTTTTTATTTCTAGCTTTGCATAACTCAAGTGCGTATCCTTTATCGATTTGCGTCTTTTCTTTTATCCCCAATAAAAGATGCTTTCTTTCCTAATAACTCATTATATTTCCTAAACTCGTATTTGTTGATTGATACTAGGAGTTAGATAATACAAACTGATGTAAGTTTGCCTACCTCTTTCCAGAAAATCATAATCCGATTCTTGTTTTGGATTTTAAAGGACAAAAAAGGTTTCTTACATCATCTGTTTTTCATAAACTAATAGCTAACACTAACCCTCATTGATGTTATTCTATACACACTCATAAATGATGACTGGCAATGTGATTTAAGCTTGTAAATTATCAGTTCAACTAAGTTTCATGGGTCGGTGATTTTGGAGTCAGTGCTCTGAGTTTCAACACTGCTCATGTTTTGAAACTCAAATAGCTAACTTTTTCGTTTGCTCAAAATTAATAAACTCCATATACGCCAGTTTAAAGCGTTATCTTTTACTTGAAATAATATGGCATCAAAATGAATAATTATGTATTGAGGTAGTATTCATCAGGGACTGGCATCAGTTGGGGAACCATTGAAAGTGTAGGAGCTCATTAGTGACATGCTGCTTCTAGATGGACATAATGGAGTTCTAATGAGAAGCCGTGAGGTCAACCAATCGGAAAGGAAGCGGATGCCAACTGAAGACCTTGAGTGATAGTCGCGTCATATCGTGAATTGACAGAAGTTGGAAACTGTGAACCACTAAAAACCGACCTAGTGGCTGAATGGTTAATGCATTCTCCGTGAAACCTGAAGCTCCTGAGTTCGATCCCTAGCCAGGTCGTAGATGCATCCTGCTGAAGAGTCCCGTACTAGGACGAAACAGTTGTCCAGTGCTCCCAGATTTACAATAGTTCCCCAACCAATGTTAATTTGTAATGAATACTACCTCTAAATTAAAAATCCCCATTCATCTCAAAAATTACATACTGTAACAATTTCATCTTATTATCACAGTTTTCATAGAATTTTAGTTTTTTTTTTTAAAAAGTTGTGATTAACGCATAGTTGGAAGTTAATTATGAGCATAACCTGTTAATCATTTTATGATTATACTTGATGTCATTTAACACTGTCACCGATAACTAAATCGCGTAAGATTTATATTTGATAATAAACACCTTCATATTTCTGTTCAATATTTCTTACTTATTCATCTTCTCATTAGAAAAATTCAAAGAACCATAAACAATCAAATAACAAAGATGTGCCAGTTGAGCCTGTTCGTGAAATGCCTATTTTCAGTACTGATAAAGATCCCAAAAATGACAGTGGATGTGTCATATCATAGTTAACAGTAATATCATTATTCCTTATTTGTGCTTTCAATATGTAATAAGAAGTTGACATTTCTTTACTCCTTTGACTACCTATAGATTTTTTTCGATTTCTGTTGATGACACTTTCCAGAAATTTCTTTGTTATTTATAATCTCTTTGTGTAATTTTCATTCTTTTAAAAGTGAAGACAATCATTGTTTCTCAAAATTCATTGTTTTTTTACATCTAACCTTCATGTCTCACTTACAGTTCACAGCAATTGTGAATTAATGTCTGTGATATGTATTTGTAGCGTAATGGCTTAAGTAACAAGTCATGAGTTAAACTTTCGTCCTAGATTCTGAGTTTTTGGGGAGTAATTGGAAGCATTATTATTAATCTCAGCCTATGTATTAACCAGTTATGCATTTTCCAAAGCTTTCCACGCATCAGCAACACATTCATATTTACAGTGGCTGTTCACGGTGAAAGCGTTTGATATCAGTAGACTACGCTTTCTCACATTTCCCTAAATACTGTAAGGAAGAGGTTTCTGGTGATGATTAGTGTACATGTAGATGTATTTATAGATGTGTCCATGAGTAATTCTGTGTTTCAACGTCATTATGAAAATAAGCAGTTATACTGTGAAATATAAGGATACAAGATAACAAAACGAACGACAACGAAATGGAAATAGTGTGATCACAAATTTTAGAAAGTTACAAAGTGAGAAAAGGTAGTGTAAATCAAATGACGAAATGCTATATGATGTTTTGAATAAAGATACTGTCTAGAAGTACTTACTTCATTGCAATCCAGTTTTAGCTACATCGCCTAGACTGTAAATTCCGCTTGCATTATGAAGTTACGCAAAGCACATAAATCGCACAACTACTCGTTGAAATCGGAATATGATTTCCGGTAGTTAAATTTGTAGCTTTGTTCGCATGCTATTTATGACTTTATAAAAATTCATTGTTTAATAACTGACACCTTACTGAGACTGAGAGGTAACTATGATTTCTTATAGCATTTATCAAAGCCACACTTGTGGGTCAGTACTTAGAAATTGTCTCCCAGTGTGTAGCATCAGTACCCAACCGATAGCTGCTACCTTGACAGAATGGTCGGGTTTGCATATCACAATGACCCAAGAATCTATGCTGGTGGGAGACGACTTGTTTCCCCAAGGTTCCCCCATGCCCGAAAGGTCTGTTGGACGAAAAGCAGATACCATTGCAGTGTAAATTATTACACTGATGGAGGTTTGAAGCGAATTCGTACTGCTGGCTCGACGGGGGTGTGATAGCAGTGAGGTGTTTCCCTTGAAACAACAGCAGCGTCACGCTGATGCTACCTTTCCAACGGAAGTTGGCGTTAAAAAATGCCAGCTGCAAAAATAACACTCCCCTCCTGCCCCACGGTCTGCTAGAGGTATAGGTTATTACTATCTAGCGTTAGAACAGCCGAACCTCAACTTAACATCCCGCAAAAGACTATGTGTGACATACCTCAAGCAGATGTCCCATGAACCTGCAGTTACACAACTATTTCTCTCTCAGATACCCTAAAAAAAAGTAGCCTTCCACGGTGTCGGCAGTCGGGAAGTGTCAACCGTCTCTAATACTACAAAGGCAACTGTGATGAAACACTTGGAGCCTTCTCATGTTAGAATCACATGATATTGTCAAAGTTATGTATCTTCCAGTTGTTAGTTCAAATACATGATGTTAAAGTATACTTGTTTATTTGTCGTTACAACTGGACGCCACGAGAGTTTACCATGTTTTTACATCCGAGGGGATCATATTTGATTCCCAGACAAGTGAATCAGCAATCTTATATTACTTTCCTTAGATATCTCTGGCAGTGGTTAAATGTCATTTCTCGTTCTAGGCTACTGATAGAGAGTTTAAGACCATTTCAGTGTTTTATTCAGGTCACGATTGGTAAGTTTAACTGTTCCTCAAAGTGTTTTACTTATTGTTACCTATGAGTGAACGGTTGATCTGTTATTCTGTTTAATATTTTCACTAGCAGCTGCATTTTTATTCCAGTGTAAGCATGTTTGAACTGCAGCTTCATGATTCCTTATCACCACTGATTCCCGCTTATTCGGATGATGAGGAAGCCAGATATGTATTAAGGGAGGTGTTAGCTAAGCATTTATCTGAACAAGACAACAATGCTTATCCTGAGGGAACCTGGGGTGATATTAAGTCTGTTGCAGTAGCAACGATAAAGAAAGTTGGTAACCTACACACGAAAGTTAACGAACGTCACTGGATTTTCGCAACGTCGTCGGAACTGATTGATGCTGAAAGAATGGTTTCAACTAGCTCTGACCACGATGAAGAGCGAAAGCAACTCAAACATAAGTTGACCAAGAGTCTTCCCGTTGGTTTCAAGCAATGGCGGGTGGCGAAAGCAAGAGAAATGAAGAAGGCACCCGACAGCTATTTAAGCTTACTAAGGATATCGGCTAGAAGAAGACGATGGTTAGTGAAATCATCACTGAAGAGGATGGGACGCTGATAAACTCTCAGGACAGGCGGCTAGAACGTTGGACAGAAGACTTTGACTTCAACTCTCTTTGAAGTTAAAAAGGTTGTATCGAACCTGAAACGATTCAAAGCAGCAAGACCTGACAGTTTGCTACCTGAATTTTTCAAGGATGGAGGTAAAAACTTGCTGATTAAAGTGACGGAGGTACTAGGTAGTGTCTGGGAATCAGAGGTGGTGCTGTTAGACTATTGTACTTCATTGGTCATCGGAGTCTATAAGAAGGGAGACAAGTCTTCTTGTGATAACCATAGGGGAATTGGCTTGACTAATATTGTGTCCAAGATCCTCGGCTGCATAGTTATTTGACGCCTCACTGGAGCTCGAGAAGGCCAAAGAGCTTTCTGACCTGATAGGGGGTGCATCATTCATATTTTCACCCTCCAACAGGTTCTGGAACACAAGCATGCCTACCGGTAGCTGACACTTGCCATATTTTTTTTGACCTGAAAGCGGCATTTGACTCTATCGACCGTGAGGTGTTGTGACTGTGAATGGAGTGCTGATCAAGTGTATAACGCTAATAAAGCTCTCTACTCAAACCCAGACAGCCATTTCAGAGTCTATGGAGAGTTGCCATGTGAATTGACAACAACTAGTGTTCGCCAGGGATGTCCACTATCGCCGTTTCTATTTAACTTCGTCATAGGCGTAGTAGTGGACATAACCTTTAGGTACGTCTGATTTCACAAGGATTAACCTATTCTCTAGAAGTCGCCTGGTTGACTTGAAGTATGGAGACGACACTGTCCCACTGGGTGAAGGCGTTGACAAAACGCAGAGTCTTGTGAACTCGTTAAGCAGAAATCTGATTATATTTGGAGTGCCTTTCGCACCTGTCGTGAAATGCAAGATGATGCTCCAGGCATGACTGGTCTGCAACCACTCCCAGTTTAATGATAGGGAGCGAAGTAGTGTAACGTGTCGACCGCTTCACCTGCTTGGGGAGTCGCAACAACCTGATAGGGCTAGTTGCTGACGAAATCTCAACTTGGATACAGAAGACCCGTTTGGCATTTGCCAGCTTGAGTTACCTGTGGCACCGACTAGCAAGATACCCGATTAACTACCAAAGGATGAGTATACTGCGCTGTAGTCCATTCTGTCCTGATTTTCGGCTATGAGACACAGCTATTAAAAGTGGGAAACACAAAGCGATTACTGGGTTTCGATTGCAGATGTCATTGCAGCATTGTTCGCATTTGATGGAATCACTGTGTGAGCAATGTAGAGGTCAGTCAGGCGAAGGATCCTAGGCAGGACAGGCAAGTTGATTGGTGAGGTTGTGAACCTTAGTCGACTGAGATGGCATGGACATGTACTATGCATGCTGACCCACCGCCTATCTCAACGTGCCATGCTGGGGGAAGTTGGATTAGATTAGAAGAATGTTCAGTCAGGGTGGTCAAACAAAGACGTGGCACCAGTGGATGAAGTTTGTTTCTGTTGGTCTGAGCTGTATGGGGAGATGTAGACTGTCTGGATGGGGTTCGTGAGACGATAGGAATCAGTGGTTGAGGACTCTTAGTGATATGGGTGAAAATTGGTCACAATGGTGCAGATGTATTTACTCCTTGATATCTTCTAAGGCTTGATTATTTGTACTAACCTTATCTTCAAATTGTGTATTCTGTCAGACAAATTTGTCTACTTGGATATCACTCTTTTTCTATCCATCTGTTGTTTGTGTTCTACTGTGAAGTGTGGCACCTTGAGGTGATGTATTTGTGTGCGGAATTCTACGTTGATTTTGTAAGTAAGTCAGTATCACTTTGTTTCGTAGTATATGCCTAGAACATTGATGATCATCTTTGTTCAAATAATAAATGAGTTCTCAGTGTGATAGTCACTGGCAATTGTTCTGCATGTGTAATAATGTGGATTGGTAGGGGAGTCACTGACATTTACAGAGGTCAATATTTCTGCTTCTTGCTTTTATTCGCATGAGTTAATAGTTGACTATACGTTTAGTGTATTTAGTCATTGATAAATGGCCTTCTAAACTGTATTCAAAACACTTACGGATGGAGCAAGAGTGCTATCAAACGATGTTTCTAACAGAATACTCATCTGTTTCAGTCTTCGTATCCGTTTTCAACTTCTGTTCCTACTTTCACCACGTGTGGCGGTAGAACCCACCCAGTCAGGAATTCTATGTGGTAGTTGGCACTACGCCACTACTGTCCTTTTCTTAAGCATTCATAGTTCTCCATTACCGTTTGCCTCATCCTCACCCCAGTGTACTTTCAACTAGTTTGACAAATCAGCAGTTGCGTCTGGTGTTTCTAACAAAATCCTGATATTCATTTGGCTTGAAACGTTTGCTTAGGATTGTAAACATTAAGCTGTTTCTAATATTTTTTCATATTACGGTGTCGTTTATGGATTTAAATAAACTTTAATCAGCCTGACTGACTAGCACACATGGATTTCAACCCAAGGGACCTTTATTTCGAATCCAACAGTACCTATCATGATTCACTTATCCTTAATATCTTTCTTAACGTTCGAACAGAGCACGACTGATTATTTCCACAGGTTGTACTTACGGAGGTCTCCTTCTCGTCGTCTGGCTATACGCAGATTATTGTTTTCGCAGGATAGTCCTTAGTAGGTCTAGAGTACCTAAATAACATAGTCCTGTAAATTGGAGGTGCAGTCTTCTGAACATACTGAGTGGCGATTTGGGGATGTTTGAGATGCATTTATCGCCACTAAAATCCAAGACACTACTCTTGTAGTGCCTTGTCCAAGAATAGGGAGTGATTTGGTTGACCGCGTCAGCCACTTTACCTATCTGGTGAGTCTTACCAGCCATGCTGCGTCAGTGGACTACGAAATCTCTGCACTGGTACAAAAGGCTCGCTTGGCTTTCGCCAACTAAGACTAACTATAGCGACGCTACGACATCCGATTGTCGAGTGCACTGCGCTGCAGTTATTTCCATTCTACTACATGTCTGTGAGGCATGGTCATTAAATGTGGAAGGCTTCAGGTGTTTCACCACCGTTGTCTTCACAGAATAGGTCACGTATCTCCTTGTTCGTAAGGTAGGAGTCACGGATAGTATTTTAGGGAGAAGAGGAAAGTCAGTTAATGACTTTGTGAACCTTTATGGACTGAAGTAGCTGGGACATGTCGCGCATGCCTAACTACCACCTACCTCGTCGTACAGTGTTGACTGAAATAGGTTCAGAATAAGTAGAGGTCTGGGATGGTCAAACTAAAGCATAGAATCAGTGTATAAAGTCTTTGGCCGTTTGTTTGATCTGTGTAGGGAAGTGTAGGCTTCCTGGTTGGGGTCAGTGTGACAACAGAAACTAGTGGTTGGAGACTGTAGGTGATATGCCTCAGAACCTATCTCAGTGACTCTGATTTATCCACGTATTGTCCTTATCTCAGTCGTCAAATTAAATTTCAGTATTGGGTCATTCTTCCTTGGCCTTCTTTGATGACTACCACTTTTGTCTGCTTTCTTCTCATTTTGTTGTCTCTTATTTTAGTGCATTCTCGCTTGATGCGCTGATATGAGTTGTGGTAACTTGCAACCCTACACAGTGATGTCAGGTCCTATGCTGATTTTGTCTGTCTGACGGATCGCTTGTACTTCAGGCTATCAAAACTGAACAGAAAGCGATTTAGAAAGAAGAGTTATATGGACAAAGATTTTATATGTCGGTTATGCTTGATAAAGATACACAATCAATACTGTCAAGTGATTCATTTGGTGAAGATAATTCAGGATTTATGTCCTCATAGTTAGCGAAACGATTCCTCAGTTGATATCTGTTTGTTGTCCTTATGTTTTGGAATGAATCACTTCCCTTGCCCATGTTTTGTGTCCTAATTACAATAAGGGAAGTTATTATTGCAAGTAAAGTAAAACCGCCACCATGTGTAAACAGTCGAATTTATTTATAACGGGGTGGTTTATTTCACGATGAAATCTCTTCATTAATACCACCAAAGAGAATAAGTAAGTCTTCTTCTTTGCCCAGCTTACCTACTAGTTTTCCTGGCTTGATTGGCCAGTGAGTTTTGTGTCATGATTCTAGGTTATATAACACTTGCCACAAAATATTCTTTCTAACCATGGCTCTTTTCAAAGTGTTTATTTATACTTCAGCGGAATCGCTTTTTTGGTATTGGATGCCTTTCGAAAGTGACTAGAGATGATAATCGATAGCATTGTGTTTTTTGAATTGGCATTTTGTATTTACTTGTTTTATTATGAAATGAGGATATGTGTGAACTTATGACACGTGAACGTAATCTTGCATTTGGCAGCCATGGTAATATTGCATGTGACATTGCTTCATTGCATTGTTAAAGAGGTTCGAAATCAAAGATTTTGCTGAATATCCTCTTCCATAGCTGTGTGTTTCAATCTGGGCGTTCGGATATTCTTCATACCATGTTATGACGCATTATTGTCAAAATTCCAAGCTCGAAAACCTGGTATGTTTAGAATGTCTCAAACTTAAAGCTAAATCATCCATTGTATTTCTCTTATGATCAAAAATACCTTCTATCCTACGTTCATTGATCCTTTAAACTTCCTCATTACTTCAAGCCTGACTTGGTATCGCTTGAAATTTAGATCGACGGCTGTCACTTCAAGTTATTGTGATAGCAAAATACCTAGAGTAGACTTGGTGATTTTTAAAATGCTACTTTCATTTTCACTATAATTCCTTGAGAAAAAAATAATACCTCAGCAACACACTCGAAAAAGCCAATATTTAGTTTTAGTCGTACTTTAATCAGGGATTTATAGAGAGATACTTATGTAAAGTAAGTCACAACACATACTTTGTATTTGGCTGAGATAACATCAGAATCTTTAGGCCTTTTTAAGCAGAGGCACATTTCTAAGATAGACGTTAATGCATACATGTAGGTGTGCATGAAGCGGAAAACCTCTGAATCGTCCTAATAACTGGATTTCTTAAGGACTGCTTTTAAGTTGTAATTATGACTTTTGGGTTCAATATGAACTTTTCCCTTTGATAGGCAGGTACAACAAATTCATCTGGAAAAGTTAGTAAAGCTGGATTGTTAATCAATATTACACAAAAACTCCAGGTTCCAGAACAAGCGAAAAGTGTACGAAACTATTTGCTGTCTGGAAGACTTGGGAATGTAAGATTTGGTGTAGCTCCGCTACGTTTTTGATCAGACTGGTAGAGTGGTGAGATGACCACCAGCTTCTCTTCTGGCATCTGACTAGGACTTTAGCCCTCACACAAATTAAGATCATGTAGCTCCCATACTAACTTAATAAAGCAGCGCTTCAGAAAGAACTCCACCTACTTAAAATTCTTTCAGCACATGACTGAAACAATTCATTTTGAGACCATGGACAGACAACTGGCTAAAATGTTTGAGAAGGCATCGCAAGCTGAATGGGGTTCATCAATCTAGAATGAATCTATCTTATTTCTGTCTTCTAAGAAGAATTAACATATGTGACAGTATATAGAGTGTCAGTATGCTGCCAATCACATCATACTTTACAGAACATAGTAAAGCTCAATAAAAGGTGCGGCCCATGTTTCTATAATAACAGTCCTCTGGTTATATGCTAACTCTCCGTCAACGAACCATACACCATCATCTATATTACAAATCAACATTTGTTGCGTCCCTGTATATTTTACTTGCCTTTGATTGGCTGAACAGATGTTTGCTTTCGTTAAAGAGGTCTGTGCTTACAGATTTTGACGAAAATATCGTAAGTGAGTCCATCAAAACTAGCACCTCTCTTCACTATTCGAAATTTGCAGTGGGATTGAGCAGTGTGTCCTGAATTTGCCATTTCTGTTTAACTTTACTATCGCTAACATTCTTACAACATCTTTGCAGGAGGAACTTGGTGATGGCGCTAATCTGCTACTAAGAGAAAGACGTTTTGGTCTTGGGCGTTTTGAAAATGGAGTTTTACTTCGCGACGATAAAACAGTTGATTCAGTTGCACTTAGTCATTTCGTGGAAAATGCTCATAAGTATGTTGCGTAGTACCCATCTATAACGTCAAAGATCACCACATGCCTCTACTTGCACTCATTCTTGGATATCAGCTACGTGATATCAGCAAAAGCTTCATGTTTTCCTGCGTTTTTGTGAGTCCTAGCAGACATATGGTTGCTGAAACTTCTAACTGTATATCGAAAGCCACAAAGTCTGTCATCTTTGACTTTGTGACGATGTTACTCTAGCTGTAAAGAATTTGGTGTAAAATCCGTCTGCTTGAACAGATCAGCTCTGGATACATGAGGCCTGATGTCTTCGAGATGCGGATACCTGATGCATGTTTTGGGATCAATCTTATTTTTTCTTTTGGTATTTTTCCTACACTTTATGTGGTACAATTCTTGACTCTAAGTCTGTGTGTGAAACAAATAATATAAACTTATTCCGTTGGTTTTTCATCTACTTTTAAGAAAACTAAGATATATGGTATTGAGATTTCAACGGTTATGAGTTTCAGAAGTAAACTCACATCAAACCTTAATTTAAAATTTGGTCCATCAATGATGAACTTATAATCTAACATGATAATAATCACCTGGTAACTCTGTTATATTTCGGTGTCGATGGCTAGTTATGGTTCCTTGTCTTACTCTCTTTAAAAAAGCAGTGGTAAATGTGGGCCTACTTTGAAATGGCTCTTATTTTTCAGTGTATGATTTTAAAATGCAGGACAAAATACTTACATCTTATCTACAAGCTCCCTCTTCTCCGGTCTCTCTATTTGCTATTCAACACAAGCTACTAAGTTGCTAAAGACTCACCGGTGGTAGTTCGTTGTTCTTGGTATAGAACGTATGTTTAATTTTCTGTTGGTTTTGGATAGTGGTGTCCGAAACTTCATTTGAATAGAAAGGGGACGATGCGTGGTATCTAACTAAAAAAATTACTTCATACAAAAAGCAATCTGTTGTACCGTGCATCTTTTCGGACTCTGTGAGATATGTTTCTTAGTTATTGTCTCTGCTTCAGTACTTCGAAGTATAGCGTCATTTTTGTTGCTGAAGTTACTGACGCCTAGCGTAGTTTTGATAAAAATATCCAGGTAACCAACTTGATCTCAATATGTTATTGAAGTTGTTTCTATACAAATTAAGGGATTCTTTGAGTTTGTTTAGACAATTGGCTGGCAATAAACTGCAAGCATCAGATTCATCGGAGAAAGAAGTCTTGACTTTCAGAAAGAGTCTAAAAATAAACCATAACATTTTTTACCTGTCTAAGCATTTTGAAATAGTTTGTGGGTACTCCTTCAGGTTCTCTATGGAATGAGTTAAGGACTATGACGTTGTCTGTGCCAATAAGTAGCCTACCAGCTGCTTGCTCATCAAAACGTTTTTCTCTTGAGCTATTTGCTTGACCGAATTGACTACTTTCATCACTGAGTCGTCCTGGGCCGCACATGCCATCATGCTTCCTGATGTACTTAACTGTAAGGAATAGGATAAACATTATTCACAGGCATACTGCGTTTGTCAAGTGATCAATAGACTCATTTATATCACCCAAGTGACCACTAAAAGGCATGATGTTTTTAAAACACTGGGTTTCGTTACCTAAGTTTCAAAACATCACTGTAGTCGTCGTCCTTTTCTAAGACTGAACTGTCTTCGTGGTCATTATACTTCCATATACTTCGCAAAGAGCTCCAGTAAGAAGATCCCTTAAATAGTTTTTTCATCAATTTTGCTCCTTTTTACTCACATCTTCGGAAAAACTTTGACTTAATGACTCTTCAAATTCATCTTTTGAAAGCTGTAGGTTAACAGTAGACTGTGAACCAAAACTTCGGTCTTGAGAGCTCGAACGGCTTTGATTATCTTCCAAATTTATTCTGGAACTTATTATGTTCAGAAGTTTTATGTACCTACTCCATCGCTCTTCTCTGAGGGCCAACTCGCGGGATCTTAAATGACATTTTCTGTTTTTTGTCTTATTGCCTTTGAACCACTGTCTAACTTGAAGTAAACAAACAACTATCTGATATTGAATAATTTCGTGAAGTTCAGTTTCAAATTTTGAGCATGGAGGATTTTGAGCCTAAATTTGTCCTTCTTCAGTAGACCTCTGTTATGTGTTTGTCCTCTTTTGAATGAGTCAACGGTAGGCGTAAACGATACTTCTTTTTGGAGTTGATTACTCCACGAAGACTACACTTGTTCGTTGCTTGTTCATTCTGCTGCTGTGCCACTGTGGTATTCTGTCATAGCCGAAAGGCAAGCTGAAAACAGATTTGGTCTACAGTCATTCCTTAAAATGCTGTATTGTATGGTGAAGTCTTTCCTGAAAAATGGGATCTCCCCTCTGAGATAGGACAAAGAGAAGAGGTTCAGCTACTTGAATTGTTATTCGTAGGTCAGCCTAGCCAGTGGAGAGACCACGCGAACTCTGAACTCTGTCTTAAAGGTCTTAGTCCTCATTTAAACGGTGATTTGCTTTCTTTGCACAGTTTTCAAGCCTAGATTTAATCAAGGAGGTGCATAAGATTGTATAAACATCCTCCAGTTTTACAAACATATACATCATGCTCAAAGTGTCTTAAAGATCTTCACTATGGCCGATCGATAATGTGCTTTGGTCTTGAAGTCACGACTTACTGTGACCCCTAGGTCATTTTTATTCGATACTGAGTGTAGAAGATCCCTACCAGTATCACAGATGTTTAGGACTGTATGCCCCTCGTGGACGCCCACAAGCATACTCAGGTTAATGGGGACCAGCCATTTCCCTGACCAGATAGAGAAGATATTTAGGCCCGTCTGATATACACGTGCATTTAGTCGCCCCTAATTTCAAGTCAGATATCCGCATTATTAGCGCAGACAGCAGTGAGGCCTTTCGTGGTATTCGCAATTTCATTCATATACACGGGGAAATTCAATAGGCCGCTGACAATGCTGTGGAGCACTCCACACTTTGTCGACTTCCTAGAAGAAAGTTGAGAAGCGATTCCTACCCTTTGTCTTTTTTCAACACGGAAAGCTTTCACCAATACAAGCAGATCAAACTGGGTCTCACCTGAGATTGAAATTTGGACCGCGGCTGGAGTCGGAGTGAAAATCCGGTCAGCAGTCGGGCCTCTCAGCTCATTTGGTAGAGCACCGGGCCGTAAAACCGGTTTTCGTCGATTCGAATCCGGCCACGGTCCAAATTTCCATTTCACCCCCAACTGTCACCCAGTGCAAATACTGGTCTGCCGAACCACGGCTATCTTAGATAGCCAAAATGATGAACCAATAGATTGCCTACGATTCCCATACTTTCCAGATTCGCGAGTAACCTGGAACGTTTCACTTCATAGAACGGCCTAATAGATTCCATAAAAATGACCTCTACAGGCATTCTACCATCCGAATACTTGGCCCAACTCCTCGTGACTGAGAGCGTTCGTCAAGCAAGAGAAGCTTCTGCGAACGCCATATTACAAACCAGACAACAGCGCTGTTTTCTGGGTGGACCGTAGTGGCTTACTTGATCTCATTTTACAGGATTCCAACCACAGCACTGGTGACCTGATCTCTGTGATTTCACTGGCGCTGTCCAAAACCCGCTTTGTAGGTAGATGTGAATGTGGCATCCTCTTAGACACAGTGGGAAAAGTCAAAAATGGTGATCATTTGGCCAACTTCTCAGGGTGCAAGCTCTCCGAGCAGCCCCAGACTTAGCTTATTTGGTCCCAGCAACCTATATAGTAATCAGAGTCCCAGCTCCATAGTCACGCTTGATGCCCAGACAGTGCGACAAGTTGGTTGCCAATGCTTCCACTAGTAAAACAGAGTCCTCTAAAGTTCTACGGGGCAAATATTTAGGCAAATATCCGACTGTAGCCTCTGATTTTCCTATGAACTCAAGTTAATTCGTTAGTTTCCGTAACTTTGGCTACAGCGGAATTAGAAATACGTGTTCTACACAGCTTGTTCACATAGGAATATGACCACCCTGACGTCTGCAAAGCAACATGGGCAAGACGTGTGTCAAAGCGCCATCAAAGCAGATGGCAAAGATACACTTGTTCGGGACATCTTTTTGTGGTGCTTCCTCACCTCGAAGGCGCTGAAGCGAGTGTCAAAACTCCAACTTCTTTTCCTCGCGTTATACCAAACGTTGAATTTCGGAGGTCTAACCATGGGGGACAATGTTTTTGTCCCTTCGAAACGGTTCATAGAGAACCACCGAGCCACTGCCACATATAACTTCTTGAAGAGGCGCTTCTCAGCGTTAACTAGAGCTACTGGATTAGCTGTCCATGGTGTTGAATCGTTGCTGCAAAGGTTGCATTCCAAATGCTGGACCAAGCTGGGGTATTGGCCTGGCGAAAAACGGCTTCTGGGAACCTGAAGGTGGCCATGGTATGATCAGTCATAGAGTGCAGGATGCAGTTTGTGTCATCCGCATGGAATAACGCCGAAGTTTCGAATCAACAAAGTATGCTGACCGTCGCATTACGTTGTTCCCTATCATGCTATTTAGGAGAGACGGAAATTAAACTATTTTACGGACTTAAAGTAAAAAAACAAGATGCTCTAGTTGTCCAGCTGTCCCGGCCACACGATGGTGCGTTGAAGCCTCGTGCAACTGCACAGCCTCATGTATCCATTCAGAGAGTCAACTTCATCAAGGGGAAGAATCTCGTCTGAAATTTAACGCGATAGTATACGATGACTAGCTTAATATCGTATCCCTTACATTTTAGTTGGCTTGTGGGGGTGCGTTTTACAATTCCGTAGCGTTTGATTAACCCTGCTTAACTTGGTGTGGTCTAGTACCTGATTAACCAGTATTTTACCTAACATGTAAGTACTAATAACAAAACACAAACCAGAAGAACCGATGAGGAATATATTTGAAGAGCCAATGTGTTTAATTTAAGTGGATGTAATGATAATGGAGGGGGGAAAAGTTTGATCAACTTATCTGGCTTGTAAGGCCGAACTATGGACTCTGAGTACGTGTGTAGTAGCCAGCGCTATGGAGCGCAAAAGTGGCGTCCAAGCCTACTCGGATGCATGCTCGTTAAAACAGAACTTAAAACACCCTGAGCATCCGGAGGCGGGCTAGAGGTTCATCTAGTTAATCTAATTTGATCTACTTATTTTAGCCGTAGTCGTATTTTGGTGCCAGGAAGGTGCACTACAGATTTTCCCCCTTCTGGTAGGTTGTTGGGATACTGGCAACCTCCGATTCTAGTAGACGACTGCAAGGCGGACACGCAACACCTTTTTATATTGATGATGGAGTATGTGACGTGTGGGTCTCCGAAGCTAGTGCAACTATGCACACCTAGGACTTTAGAGGACTTTGCATCTAGATGCAACCCTTCTAGCAGTGGTGGAAAATGACCCGAAGCCTTCGTCTACTTTTCCCCATTTATTCTTAATCTACCAGGGAGTGCACAAGGGAAAATTGGTAAAAAGAGAACCGAATAATGATCCAAGTGGCACCGTCAGCGGCCAATTGTGTCCAATTTTTGACGCATTTCCTAGGTTCTGCAGGAAAGAAATAGGACATTAGAGTACTGAGAAAAGAAAAACTAAACAGTTTGAAGTGGGGGAAGTACAGAAAAAAATAATGACCAACCACGAAAACGTTTTTAAAATTTTAATTGTGTTTTCGGGTTTCTTTGTTTCAAAAAAACTTTGTTCTCAAAGTAGTGAACAAAACTTGTGAAAACTTTGGATATGAAGGCCCATTGATAGTGCATGCAAGGACAAAATAGTTGAAACTCCGAACTTACCAAGTGTGAAGTTGCGCTAGGGCTAACTAAGGAAATCGGCGTATCGTCTGGGCCAATGTGCACGCCTCCCAAGACGTGTAGAGGGTACTGGATCGCTGCTACTAGAGGTGACTCTTTTAAAATATTAGAGGTACGCACGACTAGACGAGTCTGTTTAGGGGTCCGTTGGCAAGGGTTTTTCTAGTTGTGTCGGTGTAGAGGAAGGTGGGTCGTCCTCTACACAAGCTGCCTTTAAGCGATCGACACTTATGGAATCCTGCCGCCCACATCTGTCAGTGACGAAAAACTTTTCTTTCTTGCAGAGAACCTTGAAAGGTCCGTCGTATGGTGGCTGTAAGGGTCTACGTACACCGTCACAACGCACAAAGACGTGAGTGCAATCTCGGAGTCTTGTATCCAACTGCACCCGTCTAGACTGTATCCATGTGGATGGGGGCTGGAGGCGGCGCATGTGTAACTTAAGAGTTTGTGCATAACCATGAATATCGGTAGGTGGTTGGGTCACCATACATCTGAAGCGACCACTTCACCCGGCAAACGTAAGTTACTGCCGTAAACTAACTCAGCAGGTGTACACTGTATATCCGTCTCGAGTGTAGAACAAATGCTGGGAAGAACCAACGCAGAGACCCAGTCCACTTCACATTGTCGACTGCCATTAGTGCGCTCCTAAGGTGTCGGTGGAATCGCTCCACCAAACCATTGGAAGCTGGATGATATGCGGTAGTGCGGACGCGTTTGCATCTCAACAGATTCATCAGCTTCTGGAAGGTAACGGATTCGAACTTTTGGCCCCTGTCGGTTGTCACGGTGGAAGGGCATCCAAACTGTGAAACCCATCCTTCGACGAAGACCCGACTTACTGTTTCGGCGATAATGTTGGACGATGAGATGGCTTCCGGCCGGCGAGTAAACCTATCGACACATGCCAGTAGGTAAATATATCCATCGGAGTGTGGAAGTGGGCCGATAATACCTGAATGTACATGGGCGAAACGTGAATCCGGTTTGGTGAAAGTTCCAAGCGGTAGGATGTCGTAGCGATTCACCTTGGAACGTTGGCACTGAATACATGACCGTGCCCAGTTTCGGACCTCACGATTATTACCAGGCCGTACAGACCTGGCAGATATGAGTTTGTCAGTGGCATGGATGACAGGGTGCAAAAGATTGTGCAAAGCATC